GTATAAAAATAAACTATACTATTTATAATAAAGAACTCCTTACTATTATCTTTATACTATAAGAATAATAAGCTAAGCTTACTAGCTACTAATAGCGTTTTAAAGTTATTACTAACTATTAGCTACTTTTATATTTTATAATAAAATACCTACTAAATAGTTATTAAGCCTAATAGTTAGGATTAATAGTAGACTTTAATTTTTAAATTAGCTATTAACCTAGAAAAAAAAACGTCTTAGTAGACGCCCTTTTTAAGAAGAAAAAAGATCTTACTATATAAAAGGCTTTAAAAAAAGCTAGTTATATATAAGTACTTCTACCCCCCTTAGTGCTTATATTAGAAATTACTATATAGTTATAGTAGTTATTAAAGACTACTACTATAACTAAAAAAACTACCCCTAAAGTAATTATAGTAGGTGTACTAACGCCTAAGGATAACCTCTAAGGGTACTTACTAGTAAAATAAATCTTATAACTAAATTAAGAGGCTATTACACCCTCCTTATTAGCTTCTTAAGATCTAGCCTAATAAAGGTAAAAATAATAAAAACTAACTAATAATAGCCTATTAACTATAGATAGGCGCCTAGTAGTGCCCTCTAAAGATAACCTATATACTTATATAATCTAGAAAGCTTATAACTAAAAGTTACTTATATACCCTAAAAGGAATAAAATAGGTAAGATTATTAAGGAATAATATTACTAGCTAAAGATAACTATAGATATTAAGTAATATATATATAACTACTATATATATTACTATATATATAATCTATATAATAAGCCTTTAGGAGAGCTAAGGCTATTACTTATTTTATACTACTTATAGTAATATATTACTATAGATTTATAGCCTACTTAAAAAATAAAAAAAGATATAATAATATATAGGTTATAGTAGACTACTTAAGGAAGTAGGTAGTGTTAACGCCTTACTATAAGACTACTATAGTAAGGGATATATCCTACCTTTTTTATAAACGCCTACTGCCTTTCTTTAGTTTTCTAGAGATAATTACCTCTAACTATAGCCCTTAATTTATTTCTAAATTTTAGGATAAGCTAATAAAAATTTATAGTGTTAAGATTTAACTTTTTACTACTAACTACCTATAGATAAATAGTTAAATAAAGATCCTTAGCTAGTATATTATTTAGTAGCTATACCTATTAATAAATTACTACTAAAATAACTAAAGTAAAATACTTCTTATAGTAGATTTTACTTATGCTATACTCCTTAGTAAGAGCACTAGCCTGTTACTATTTAAAGTTAAATTTAGCTATATACTATAACTTAGTTTTAACTAGGACTATAAAATAGTAAAGTTTAATAGCACTTAAGAAAAAATTAACTAGACTAAGGCCTAAAGAATAGCTAAATATATCTATAAGTGCTAAGAGATTACCTAAAGGAATATAAAAATTACTTAGGAACGCTAATAATAATATATAAATAAACGTTAAAGGCTAAATAATATTTAAGTAGAAGATAACGTCTTTATTAACACTTCTTACTAAAAGAGAGATAACCTTAATAAGCTTTAGAACCCTTAGTTAGGTCCTTAGCCTGTAATTAGTATAGGCTTAGGTAGTACCTAATAGGTTTAGCTCCCTAAGGGTATTAACGCCTACCTAGTATTTTATCTTAGTAAGCTCTAAAAGGCCCTAGTAGACCTACTTCTAGGCTAGCACTAGGACCCCCTACTACTTACTATAGCTAGAGATAAGAAACTAGAATATAAAGTAGTATACTTATTATAGTTTAGGATTAACTATAAAAGATTATAATACTATATAGATTAGATTAGCTATAATAAAGACCTTACTTAGTATAATACTAAAAGCTTTTACTATTTACTAATAGCGTTAAAGGAGTTTTATAAGAAACACCTTAACGCTAATAGCCTACCTTAGAACTTACGCCTATAGCTTAAGGACGTAGCTATAAACACTAAATTACTAGTATAGCCTTATAATAACGCCCTAAAGAACCTAAAAAGGCGTTAATGAAAAGGTCTATTAGAAGCCTAAGTAGTATCTAAGTAACTATATATATTTATTAATTAGTATAGTACTAGCTTACTATACTAATTAGCCTCTCCCTCTTATAAACCTACTAACACTTTTTAAGCCTTTACCTTATTTTACTAGGTTTTAGTCTAAAAAAATATTTCCTAAAAAAAGAATTTATATAGGAAATTAAAAAAATTAACTTATAGCTACTAAAACCTTATTTAATCTTATACGCTTTAAGAACTTAAGCCTAAATATATATTATAGATAATATTATAGCTAGAGGGGTTATATAAAGGATATATAAATAAGAATAAGGTTATAGTGTAGTTTAGTAGCTAGTAAGCACTAGTTTAGTAGCTAGTAGGCACTACACCTTAGTAGTAAGTATACTATAGCTATAGTAGTTTATATACTACGCCTTAGTAGTCTATACACTACACCTTAGTAGCTAAGGCCTTAAGCCTTAGTAGTTAGTACACTTATACCCTAGTGGCTAGTAAACCCTATAGCACTAAAGGACCTACTAAAGGGCAGGGGATAAGAACCCCTAGTTATAGGAACTATTAGGTGACTTATAAATAGAATAAATAGCTATATAATAGCTAGTAGGACTACTAGCCCCCTAAGGTAGATTCCTTTCCTCTTTACTTTTAAATTCTTATAATAGGAAATATAGTTATATGTCTAACTAACGTAGTATTACTACTATAACACTAGTAACTTTTTAGTCTTAGCTAGCTTTTTTTACTATTAGTTATATATAAAGGTAAGTTAGTCTAGGCCTAGTAGTTCTTATCTAACTAATCTAACCTATTAAGATATAAAGGATAGCACTTTACTTACTTTAATAATAGCTAGATAACTAATAATACTACCCTTAAATAGCTAGAGAAGGTCTTTATCTTATTAACTATACCTACCTAGCTAAAAGAGGCTAGACTATTAATCCTTAATAAGTATTATAGCTATATAACTATTAATTTTATATAGTAATACTAGTAGTATTATATATATCTCCTTTTTCTACTGCTATACTCCTTTGCTATCCTCTAGCCTCTAGATATAGCTGTTTTTAGCCTATTAAAGTAGGCCTACTACAAAAGGGTTAGATATCTAGATAACTAGGTTATAGATTTAACTATAGCTAGTAAAAAGGTATTTCTAAAGTGTTATTTTAAGGCCTATAAGGCAGCTATTATAAGTAAGAATATTAGCAGTAGCTAGAGGTTAGCTAGATTATAGCCTATATATATAAGACGCCCCCTATCTAACTTAATAGTAACTAAAGCCTAATAGAGCTAGCCTAGCTAGTAGCCTAGTAGCTAATAGTAGGATAAAGCTATATTTATTATCTAATAGTTAACCTCTTATAGATCTACTAATCTATAGGATTAATTATAACTATTTAACTAGATAGGCTAGGATAAGTTAGATGCTTATATTATTTATTACCTATCTTAAAAGGTCTAAAAGGGGTATAATAAGCAGGCATATAAGGTAGCCCTTCTAGAAAGGCAGGTTAACTTATTACAGGCCTAGTTAGATAATATATAGTTACGTAAGAGGAAAAAGGTCTAACTATCTCCTAACAGCACCTTTGCCACTATAGAGGATATAATCTGGGCCTAAAGTCTGGATACTGGCAATATAGATAGTCCGGATGAATCTAGGGCATCTAAATTACCTAGCGAGGCCGAAAGTTGTATATAGGTGGGCGGCAGAGATGGTGAAATAAGTAGTGATGATGGTGGTGATGATGGTGGTGATGATGGTGCAAATGTGGGGGTGGTGCAGAAGGGGGGTATTTGAGTTATCAATTTTCCTTTATTCAGGTAGGGAAATCCATCCTAGAAATAACTACATAGTAGCGTATTTCCCCTAACTTTCTGCATGCTGAGATCTATCTTCACTGCAACTTTAACCCCCCCCGAGGGTCAGAAGAGGCGGGGTACAATCAGACGAGTCCATCTGCCCTGGGCCGAGGCGGTGTAGTACCCTCCATCCTTTACGCGCTGCCGGACACGCGTACTACATGTTGGGGTGGGCTGGCCGTCGAGGCTGTACACCGTCCGCATGGACGCCTAACGGTATGGGAGAGGCCGGATAGCATGCTGGGCGATGGCCCAGTCAACTTCGACAGGATGACGAGCTTCGACGAGCTTCAATCAGTACGCGTTCGGGAATGAAAAGAGGGCGATAGGCCGGGGACTTGGACGTTCGAGAGCGGCCTTTCCCCCGGTTCGAAGGGGCCAAGGCCGTCCACGGGTTTGCAGCCCAGTTTGGGATCTAAGCATAAGATTCTTTTATGGTCATCGTTTGAATCATGGTATAAGTAGTCATCTGAAGCATAGTGATGTTGTCTCGGTATTCACCATCAACATGACAATAATGCATATGCACACATGGTGTTGGGGACGAAGCCTTGGTGCAGTACCCGTAAGCCGGACATGAAATGCGCCGGTCATTGCAGGGAACGCGACTTGATCCACGTAACCAAACAATCACCTCATCGGCCTCGTTACAATAGGCCAATCAATGTGCGTTCCAGTTATCTACTGGTCCTCCTCGTTTGTCGGAATCACTGCAGAACATGGGAAGCAAGGTGCCTCATCTTACATGTTAATCCAGTTCAAGCCGCAAGAGTGCCAAACACTACCGAGTACTGTACTTGTGTTGCTGTAGAAACATGCAGCTTGAGCTGTGACCACAAACTAGAAAGGGACTTTTGCGCCAGATGTCCCCTGTCATGTCGGACCCTTTATCCCTGGACACACCCACATGGTATCATCGTCTGGCGGCCGCCTGGTGATTCATCTGTAGGAACCTTCCAAACTCGGGTTACTTTGGCCGATAACCTACCTTGCTTACGAGGAGGGGTTGCTCTGCTCTTAAATCAGTGGCGTTGCGCCCCGATCCTTTCTCCTTTTGCAGCTCGACTGTCTGTTTCCTCAAGCTCCATCGTAAGAACCGTAACATGGCCGCAATGCGCTACGCCTTATCAACCAAGCTGCTCCTCTTGCTGGGCTCTTCGCAGCTCGTCCTCGGCTTCCCCGGCGACCAAGTCGTCATCGCGCAGACGCCAGAGGAGCATGCTGCCGCTGCCGTGCCGGGAACCGTGTGGGCCGTCGACAGCTCCATTCACGCAGCACTCGAGAAGCACTCTGACCCCGTCGATGCCTTGGTCTCGCTGCAGCCCGAGATGGCGGCCAAGATGGCCGAGGCTCGCCTGATGCACGTCTTTGGCGAGAAGAAGGCCGAATGGATGACCGAGGGAGATAAGCTGCGCCTGCGGAGGAAGGGCAGGAAGTTCCGCGACATGACCGACTTCCAGGAGCTCTACGACTCTGTCGACACGCAATCCGGGAAAGCTAGTATGTTCTCGTCGTCCCTCTCTGCCCATTCCCTCCTCATTCGTCGAGGCGACGCCCAGCTAAGCACGCCGTCGCAGACCTCCCCGAGATCGCCCACCAACGCCTCGTCAGGCCCCTCTTCTCCAAGGTCAACCAGACCGAGATGCACGACGTGCTCGAGCACATGACGAGCTACTACAACCGCTACTACGGCGGGCCGACGGGGGAGGAGAGCTCGGTCTGGCTGCACGACCACATCGCCGGCATCATCGCCGAGTCGCCGCTGCACGCGCACATCTCGCTCGAGTACTTCACGCACGAGTTCCCGCAGTCGTCCATCATCGCCCGGTTCGAGCCCAAGGTGCGCGACTTCTCCAAGCCGCTGACCATCATCGGCGCGCACCAGGACTCGGCCAACTACCTGTTCCCGCTGCTGCCGGCGCCGGGCGCCGACGACGACTGCTCCGGCACCGTGAGCATCCTCGAGGCGTTCCGCGTGCTGGCGACGAGCGGCTACGTGCCCAAGGAGGGGCCGGTCGAGTTCCACTGGTACGCGGCCGAGGAGGGCGGCCTGCTGGGCAGCCAGGCGGTGGCGGCGTACAAGAAGAAGGAGGGCGCCAACATCGGCGCCATGCTCGAGTTCGACATGACGGCCTTCGTCGCGCGCAACGCCACCGAGTCCATCGGCTTCATCAAGACGGACGCCGACGCGCCGCTGACCAAGTGGGCCGTCGCCCTGGGCGAGGAGTACGTCAACATCACCACGAGCGTCTACGAGCTGATGCCCGGCGCCGGCTCCGACTACATGTCCTACACCAAGCTCGGCTTCCCCGCCGCCTTCGCCTCCGAGGGCAACCCCGTCGCCGGCGGGTTCCCGGGCGAGTTCGACCCGTACGTCCACACGGACAAGGACACCATGTGGGTGGACGACGAGACGGGCGTCTTCTCCATCGACCACATGGCGAGGTTCTCCGAGCTGGCCATTGCCTTTGCCGTCGAGCAGTCTGGCTGGGACAACAAATGGAGGTGAAGCGCGGGCTGTTATGTAGTGTAAACCTGTCACGAATGGCCCTTGTTGCTTTCTTTCTCTTTACCTCGGTGGCGTGTGTGACGGGGAAAACCATACTCGGCCGGCCATGTCCAGTCATGCATGTAAGATGTGTGTAATGCCCGGCGAAGCATCAGACGATGCTGCTTCGCTTTCCAGCCAACGACCCATGTGAAACCTCGCCCGTCAGCGGGGGGTCGTACATGTAGTTTTAACGCAACCCCAAGTTCCATTCTCTTCTCTTCGCTTTTGACGCTAAGAATTGCGTGCGTGCCGCCGGGGACAAATGCGGGGATTGAGTTACAAATTGCCCCAGTCGCATATGCACCGCCCAAACTGTCCAGTTGTGCAAGACTCTCTCTCTCTCTCTCTCTCTCTCTCTCTCCCTCTCTCTCATATTGGCCGTGAACCCCTCTTCGAACCAAGCAGACTACCACGAGAAGCCAGTCAAACCCAGACCAGAAAGAGAATCGCGACAATGGCCTCCGCAACGTCTTTCCGCCAGATCATCGGCGTCCCGGCCTCGACGGCCTCGCCCACCGACAGCACCCTCGTCATCATCGACGCCCAGAACGAGTACGCCGAGGGCAAGCTCGCCGTGTCGGACGTCGCCACCTCCCGCAAGGCCATCGCCGGCCTCCTCCGGAAGTACCGCGAGGCCGGCGGCAGCGTGGTGCACGTCGTCCACGACACGCCCGAGGGCGCGCCCGTGTTCACACCCGGCACGCGGCTGGCCGAGGAGTTTGAGGAGCTCGCGCCGCGCGACGGGGAGAAGGTCGTGAGGAAGAAGTTCCCCGGGTCGTTCGCCGGCACCGATCTAGAGGCGCACCTCGGGGGGCTGGGGGCGAGGGGGAAGAAGGTTGTCTTGACGGGGTACATGGTGAGTAAAACCTGGACTGGCGGGCGGGATGTGAGATGCGATGAGATGGGAATGAGAGAATGAGAATGAGATGGAGGGGAGACGCTGACTGTGAGAACAGGCCCACGTTTGCGTGTCGACGACCGCGAGACAGGCCGCCCAGCGCGGGTTCGATGTTCTCGTGGCCGAGGACGCGGTCGGCGATCGGGATATTCCCGGCGTCGACGCCGCGCAGCTCATCAAGGTGGCGCTGAGCGAGATTGGCGATGCCTTCGGCACCATTGTGCAGAGCAAGGACATTGCGTAGGCTCGAGGTTCCCATGCTGAAGTGACTAACCGAGCAAGATCCTCACCGTGCGGCAATAAGAAATAAAATAAAAATGAGACAGTGCAATGGTCTTCGAGTCCCATGTTCTCCTCTGCCTCGGGCTGTCTGGACTCTTGATGATATCCTGGCAATTCTCATGCTCACCGGGCCGTATGAAGCATTCTGGTAAATGCTGATGTCTGCACACTCTTCCAACTTGCTGAAGCTATGCCTCCTTTACTCAGACACAGAGAGACACAAAAACGCCTTCAGATAAACCGTAGCGAGACCGGACACCATTGATCCATGACTGGCATGCCCCAACGGTGCGATCCGAGCACCAACGAAGACAAGTGACGTCTCTTCATCTTCTATCCATGAATACAAGCAGGCACAAATCATGGAGCCGGACCTTGGCACCCGTGGACCTGCGTCTCTGATGAGGGGAAACAAACGAAGCCAGATCCAAACGCTGAGATGTGGGCGCGGCAGCGTCGCAACGCGCCGGGAAAACGGCACCAGGTACACCAACCACCCCACCACCAACACGCGGCAATGCGGATCGGCGCAGCAGCCTCCAAGAAACACGACTGGCACAGCACCGGCCGTCGTAGGATGAGTGCCGAGGCAGTAATGGAGGGGTGGAATGAAGAGGTCCACAGGCACCACATGGTCCGCAGGGCCGAGCGCGCCGGTTGACTCGGCGAACAACGATTCCACAGCCCAAAGAGGTATGAATGTCGTCATGACTCTGTATGTTTATGTTTATGTATTCAAATTTGATGTCCCTCTGGAGCAAGCACCCTTTGGACAGCCGAGTGGTACGAGGGTGAACGTGGGCCAACAAGGGACTTGGCCAGGGTTTAAACAGCTGGCTTCGGACCTCGGGCATGTCAGTTCTGCGAGCGCAGCATTGGCGTGCTCATGATTACGGGAAACTCATTGTCATGGGATGGTCCCATAATGGCTTGATTGTTTGGTTATAAGTGAGCACGGGAACGGTGGATTGGATGGAGGTTAGGGGCGGGAAGATGCTATGAGTCAGACTCTACGATAGCAATTGACACGGGCTGCTTTTGTTTCCTGCGCCGTTGGACCCGTCACAGAAAAGTCATCAGACTTGGTTGTTGTCGTCGTTCGCAGCCATCATACGGTATCACACGTAACCCTAATTCAAAACACACGAGGAGCCGTTCACGATGAGACCCTCGGCCCTGTTGACCGTCCTCTCCTGCGCCGCCATTGCGACTGCGGCCGCGACCGCCAACGAGACGGCCCCCGAGCCGGCCGTCCCCAACGTCGTCCAGTCCACCTGGGACGGGCGGTGCTTCTACCCGGCGCCGGACGCGGCCTTCGACCTCGAGGCCTATCTCGGCCGCTGGTACCAGGTCGCCGGCACCCTCGCGCCCTTCACCGCCAGCTGCAAGTGCATCTTTGCGCAGTACTCTCTGAATGTAAGCGGCCACGACGACACTGCCATCGCCCGGGGCCGGCCGCGAGCAAAACCTGGTAACAAAGCCAGAAATCGGGCTGACTCGGGAAACAGGACAACGGCACCGTCAAGGTGAACAACACCTGCGAGGCCGGCGGCCGCGCCGTCAACATCCTCGGCACCGCCGCGCCCGCCGACCCTTCGTACGGGGCCAAGGGCGTCCTCCGCGTCCAGTTCCCCGGCCAGCCCGGGCCCTCGTGCGCCGGTCCGAACTACATCGTGCAGGGTGAGTGGTGGTGGTGGTGGTGGTGGTGGTGGTGGTCCACGGCAGAAACAGTATTCTCGAATATTTCGCTCATCATGCTTCTCTGCAGACTACACCCCGGACTTTGCGCTCGTGCAGTCCAACAACTTCACCACGCTGTTCGTGCTCAGTCGCCAGCAGAACCCGGAGGAGGCCGTCCTTGACGTAAGTCGAAACCGGAGCCAACACAGACCGCTTTGCCAGAGGACAGTGCGCAACTGATGCTAACCACAAAACCCACTCTGACAGGCCTGGATAGCCCGCGCCGGTCAGCTTGGCTCCAACCTCGACGACGTTGTCAAGACGGACCAGACGGGCTGCAAGTTCACCTGAGACGCGGGGAAGCCCTCCAGAACCGGCGCCAACGCCGCTTCTGGGGGAGCGCGAGGAATCCGTGCCTGGCGCTTGGCCAGGAACGGCAGAGTTGAAGTGAGACAGGGAGAGAGGGGGGGGCCTGGAAGGCCCAAGAGCAGTTCATCAAGCGTGTTCTCGCTCTTTGGCTACATACTCGGTACTTGGCATAAAAAGACTGGATGGAAAAAGAAAAGAAAAAGCTAAAGTTGCCATGACGCCGTCGATCAGTGATAACATGACATTCGTGGCTCGAGCCTCTGCACACATGGTCGAGGCACATACACACACACGCACACACTCATCCATCCCCCATCTGAGCTCTCTCGAACGACATCGAACCATTGGTCAATGGGTACGAGGGGGGGGGGGGGGGGCAGGGGTAGGTAATGGCACAGGAAAACCTCGGGAGCTCAGCTCAGCTCATCTCCTGAAAGCAGCTGCTCATTGCTTTTTCGACTTTGGAGCTTGGGGCTGTAGTTCGACACGCTTCCCTCATAGTAGGACGATGCACGAAATGGTTGTACCGGTGCAACCCAGTGTGGTATCCCGCTCCAGGCCATTTTGTGCCACTTATGCAAGGGGTTCCTATGACGACACCATCGCCCACCCGAGACATCATGACGGGGTGGCCGCGAGCGGTCTGTGGTTTGGTGTGAACGCATCTGTGGGCACACACGCACAAACAGACACGCACCTTGCTGGTTTCTGTAGGAAGGGGGGGGGGGGGGGGGGGATGAAGAGGCTGGTCTGGAGCTCGAACCGGGCAACGGTACGCGGCCAAGAATGGGATGGAGTAGCTAGCTGAATTGAGTTTGCCTCAAATAGTTCCTGGGTCCCTCACGCGAGAGGCTTCGGGGGCTTGCAAACTGCATTCCGTTTACATTGCCTAGTGTAACCGTGATACTATCCGACACAACTTGATCAAGCCTCTGCGACCAAGCCAAACACCCCCCCAAACAAGACATTGTAAGCACATCTCCCGTCCAAGACGCCAAAATGGTCAAAGGCAGGGACGAGGTCGTCTCCGAGTTCAACGAGTACGTCAACATGACGGCCGACGAGCTCGAGTCGTGGCTCAAGTCGGACGACTCCAACAGCGCCGGCTGGCCAAAGGACGACGCCGAGGGTGACGGCGAGACCGTCGGACACGACAGCGGGCGCAAGATTGTCGAGATCCTCCAGGCGAACCCCGACAAGAAGGAGGACGAGTACACGGACGACCAGGTCGAGCACATGCGCAAGGTCGTGGCGTACTGGTGAGTTCAACTTGTCATGGCAGTCTAGCGGCGGCATGTGCTTTTCGTGTTCGGTGTTGACGAGAGGCGGTGGTGGGGGAACAGCAAGCGCCACCTCGCGCAAGAGTCCAAGTCGAACAGCGAGAAGTCGACCGAGGACGTGAAGAAGACCAAGTCTTATGCGTCGCTGAAGAACTGGGGCCACGATATCCTCAAGGCCCAGGGCAAGGAGGGCGGCGCAGAGAAGTCGAACGGGAAGTCATCCAATGAGAAGGAGGAGGAGGAGGAGGAGGCAGTAGAAGAAGAGAATGGAGAGGAGAACGGAGAGGAAGAGGAGAATGCAGAGGAAGAGGAGGAGGTGAAGGATGCTGAGGAGGTCGATGACGGCGAGAAGGAGGAGACCGACGACAAGGTCGAAGAAAAGGCCGGCGAGAAGCGCAAACACGCCGACAACGACGAGAACGGGACCAGCAAGAAGCTCCAGACGCGCCAGGGAGAGGGCCAGGCGGCCGAAAAGTCGGAAGAGAACGGGGACGAGGAGGAGGAAGAGGCGGCGGACGAGGGCGGCGACGGCCAGGAGACCACCAAGGGGCCCGAGAAGGGCGATACCGTCAGCTGGAACTGGGGCAACGGGCAGCCCGAGGGCAAGGTGCTGGACGTCAAGGGCGAGAAGTGAGTGCGCACACCGCCGCGATGCGACTGTTTTTTGTTTTGCGGGGAGGGGTGTGAGAGACAACGGGCTAACGCGGTTGATGTAGGACGACCATCGAGACCAAGAGCGGGAACGAGGTGTCTCGCGATGGAAAGCCCGACGACCCGGCCGTGGTGCTGGACGCCGGCAAGTCGAAGGCCATCAAGCTGGCACACGAGCTGAACGAGTCATGAGTTGCGAGGTGTGTGGTGTTGAGCTTCAGGGTGGCGGTAGCATGTTTGCTTTAAACCCACGACAGGATGATGGTGTAGTAGAAGCGATTAGTATTATAATCCACACCACTTTATGCCTTTTGACGAACGAGCGGTCTGCAAATCAGAGAAGTCCTATATCTCGGCTTTCCACATGATTCTACTATATACCCAGCAACCCCCTTGTACAAGACGCTTTTGTGACACAAAACCCCTTTACAACTCTTGGGCCTTTTGCGCGTCGCCGGAGCCGCCGGTCCTGGTCCTCTGGAACTTGGTGACGGGGTCCTTCTGGGCCTCCTTGACCTCGTCCCAGAACCTCTCGCCGTTCGCCCTGTCGTCCTTGAACAGGTGGTCGACGACGAGCTTCTTGGGCGTCTCGCCCATCCACTGGAAGAGGGAGAAGTCGCGGAACTCGTCGGCGCGGAAGATCTCGAGCATCTCGACGGGCTCGTCGCCAATGTTCTCGACAAAGTGGCCCATGTTGCGGGGCACGATGCCGACGTCGCCGGGGACGTAGTCGAAGGTGCGCGCCGTGCCCTCGGCGGCGAAGATGGTGACGCGCGCCCGGCCGGCGATGAAGAAGGACCACTCGTCGGCGTTGGGGTGCCAGTGCATCTCGCGCAGCGCGCCGGGCTGGATCGTCAGGTGCGCCGCCGCGACCGTCTTGGAGATGGGGAAGTTCCTTGAGTCGGTGATGCGCACCTCGCCGCCCGACGTCCGCTCGGGCGTCTGCTCGAGCATGCGGTGCGTGAAGCTGAAGCGCGACTTCTTGGCGTGCTTGCCCTTGGGCCGCTCCTCGTCGATGGGGCCTGGGAGGGTGCCCTGGAAGATGTACTTTTCGCTCTCGGGGAGGTGCTTGAAGACCTCGGGCTCGAGGTGGAAGTTCTCGGCGATGACGGACATGGGGGTGTGGGCTTCGAGAGGGGCGTGTTAGTCGGCGATTCAATACGTCAGAGAGGATGCAATAAAGTTGGGTAGGTGGATGGATGGAGAGAGGAGGCATATGTCACGCCGCTTGACTGCGTGTTGATATATCGAGATTGCGGTCGTGAGTTACGGCATTCACTTACCCAGCCAGTCGGAGAGAATAAACGTCGACTCCTCGGAGAAGCGGCCGTCGTCGAAGATGAGGAGGAACTCGGTGCCGTTGGGGCTCAGGCCCTGCAGCGAATGAGGCACTCCGGAGGGGAAATACCACAGGTCTGCGTGGTTTCAATAGAGCTTTTAGCAACTGCGGCGTCTCACACGAAACAGACCAAAGATACTGACCTCCCTTCTTCAGGTCGTCCATGAAGTTGCCGCCCTCGTAGTCGAGCGCCGTCACGCGGACCTCGCCGTCCAACACGTACGCCCACTCGGCCTCCTTGTGCCAGTGCAGCTCGCGGATGACGCCCTCGCCGAGACGCATGTTGACGCCGGCCAGCTCGACGCTGGTCGACAGCTCGCGGACGGTCGTCTGGCGAGTCCAGCCGCCTTCCTGTCACGGGGCAACTCGTGTTAGTCGGGCATGTGCTCAATTGGGCTGGCAGAGCGCCAATTAAGCTGGCAAAACGCGCCATAGAAGAAAGAAGAGAGAGAGAGAGAGAGAGATAGAGAGAGAGAGAGACAAAGAGCGCACCTCGATCCGGATGTGCGAGTCGGCGAAGCTCCAGCGCATGTTGGGCATATTGCCCTTGTCGGTCGACGGCGGGCGCACGAGGTCCGGGTTCTGGCGGGATCGCTCGGCGTTCCAGGGCCCCAGGACGGAGGCGCCGAGGCCGTTGCGGAAGGGCAGCGGGTCGAGGCCGTCGCCGACCGAGTCGACGGCGCCGTCGTTGGGGTCCCTGAAGCCCGGCGTGTACGGGTTGCCGGTGCTCTTCTTGCGGTAGCCCGCGGGGATGTCCATACCCCGGCGGAGGCGCTCGCGCGGGCTGTCGTAGTGCGGCGCCGCCGAGCACAGCTCGCCGACGGACGCCCAGAGGAGCAGCAGCTGGGCCACCGTCGTCGGTCGCGTGAGCTGCATGATGGTGTGAGTGACCGTGGACTGGGGGGGTTTAGGCGCCAAGAAGGATCTCGGAACACGGCCAGAGATGGAGACAACTGAGGCGCTCTCGAAAAAGCGCGAGAAAAGAAGACAATGGAGCACAAAGGTGTCTACGAGAAAGCCGGCGACAAGCCTGTGACGCCGGGAAAAGGATGCGAATCTTATACTTGACTCCGGGGCCTCATCACCCATCCTGCCCATGCCATCCATGCCTTGACCTCGGCCTCGCCATGTCGCAGCAACCCGGGTTGTGGTACGTAAACATGAGGAGCTTACAAAGGCCGTATACGCAGTCATCGGCACATCACCTCTCCCGCCCGCTCATCGATGCAAGCCGGCATGGCATGGCATGCACCACATCTGCCACAAGCTACGCGTACAGGCTACTACGTCGACCAGACATGCCGAACCCCCGAGCCCCAAGCTTATCACCTTTGAGCTGTATGTACGTCGTATGTATGCTGCATCCCACCCAACAGGACGACTTCTTTACAGCCGAAACGCGGCACAGCGATGAGCGTTCACTAGGTATCCCATCCCGTCATCATGCGGGGAGACAACCCAGTTAGGGCAAAGTTCCCCCAGTAATATGTAGCCGGCGTCGGGACGGGGGGCTGCGGGAGATGAGTAACCTGAGTGCGCCCCGTGTGACTCTCTCTCTCCATCTCTCTCTCCTTTCCGTTGACATGGTGCCGGCGAGCTCCCTGAAAGAAGGTAGACTCTCTGCAGTCTGCAGCCGCCATGACGCAGGTTTTCCTGCCGATTGAGCTTAACTCCAACACGTCAGCTCCACGGCTCCCTCGATTGGACGGGGGATATGTCGGAGATCAGATCCTAGACCGAGAGAGACAGCTCTTCGGGCGGCCAGATCCCCCCGAGTTTCACCCTCTGCAGTGCTTCTCTACCGGTACATCTCATCTCATCTCATCCTCAGTGTCTGTCCTGTCTGTTGCTTGCCGACGTCGGGTTTCCCCTTATTGGATACTACAGACTAACCCCAACCCCCCCTCGGATCGTCGTGATGGCAATTGACATTTGCTTGGACCGTTGCCGAGAGCGGGGGTTCGCGTCCGTGGCTTGCTTTCGTCATTCCTACCCGCTCTTGACCCATATAAACCGGGCTGGAACACCTGGAAGCTTTTCTTTTTTCCATGGAATGGGCTACCACGGCAGAGTAGAGTCCGAGGCGCCCTCATGGCATACTGAACCAAGGAGTAAGTAGTGTTTTTCGTCTCTTCTTCCCCGGAATCGTTGCGTCAACAGTCCCCGAGTTTGTTTGGCATCCACAAGCTTCCGTCACCAAACGTCATCTGTTCAAACGTCTTCTCCTAAGCGGCGATCCCTACCTTCAGTGGTGAACCGGGGGGGGGGGGGGGAGAGGGGTGCCTTGTACTCGGTGTTCCCTCATCAAGTCACTGCCGCAACTTAAATCACTCACGAGTCGCGGTTGACTGTTTGTAAGAAACCCTCACCGGTACCGATCGTAAACAATCGGCTCCAACATGAGCGCGCCTCAAGGGAGCTACGGCTCCGTGGCCAACTCGGTCCCGGTGTCTAACGGCGACTCCGCCGCCTCCGCCGAGGAGGAGCAGCAACCTCTCCTCGGCCGGGGCGGAAAGCCGGCGTCCAAGTCCCTCCGCAAAAGGCTGACGACAGACGTCACGCGCGACTGGGCCGATCTGGTCCTGCTCGCGTGCTACGCCATCACCGGCCTGCTCGACAGCTCGTCCATCTCCATCTGGGGCTCCTTCGTGTCCATGCAAACAGGTAAAGGAAAAACATACTCCTCTCTCTCTCTCGGGTGTCCCACGCGACGCTCTTCCACGTCACACTCATAAACTCATCCCGCCCACGCAGGAAACAGCGTCTACATCGGCCTCGGCTTCGCCGCGCCCACCGAGTCGACCCGCTGGATAAAGTCGGCCACCTCGCTCGTGTCCTTCTGTCTGGGGTCCTTCTTCTTTAGCCGCTTCCACCGCCGCTTCTCCCCGAAGCGCCGCTGGGTGCTCTGCGCCTCCTTCGCCGCGCAGGCGCTGTTCTGCGTCGCCGCCGCCGCCATCCTCACCGTCGGGCCCCGGACGGCCGGCAAGGACGACGTCTCGTGGAACGTGCTCGTGCCCATCGCCCTCGTCGCCTTCCAGAGCTGCGGCCAGGCCGTCACAAGCCGCGCGCTGCGGTACAACGCCCTGACCAGCGTCGTGCTGACGAGCATCTACTGCGACCTGTTCTCCGACGCCGAGCTGTTCGCCGCCGTCAACACAGAGCGGAACCGCAGGGCCGCCGCCCCCGTCCTGCTCCTGGTCGGCGCCGTCCTCGGCGGCCTGTTCGCGCACAGCTCCTTCGGCATCGCTGGCGCGCTGTGGGCCGCGGCCTTCCTCAAGTTCCTCGTCGTCTTGTCGTGGTTCTTCTGGCCTGGCGATCCGGCCTCTGATGAGTAGTGGGGAGGAGGGTGCGCGTGGCGAGGTTCAAGGGCGACGGACAGTAGCTGGGGTGTGTCTTTCTGTCCGCAGTTGGTCTTTGGTACCAACGATGGGCCTGCGCTTTTGAGCATCGTTCTGAAGGTGAATACCACTGCGTGTTCAGACCCTTGGGTTAGACTCGGGTCTTGTAATTTCTCTGATGACCGCGCAGCTAGAACTGAGCGTGGTAGTGTCCAATATACGGTTGCATTCTTGAGGAACAAGACCGCCATGGAAACCGTCATGTTGGAACACGACTGAGAGCTCCCGTTAACTGCATCAATGAATATCCGGTTTAGGTCCTGGTGATAGACCGTAGGGCTCCCTGCCAGAGGAGCCTTTTAGCCGAGGGGCATTGCAGAACAGGAAGCTCGAGCGCAGACTATTGTGACATTTTGTCTTGGAGACATTCAAGTAAGGCAAGAGGCCAGCCAATACGATGTACGCCGACATTGGCCATTTCTTACTGCATCCTTGGTAGACATGTCGGGCTACATGTGTCATCTGGTTCTTCGAATACCTTAGTCTGAACTTCAAGGTACCCCTCCATCGGATGAGACGACCTCTACTCGGCGTTTGATGGCTAGCCACACCGTGAGACTTCTAGATCAGGTCGAGGAACATAGCTGTTGTAGGGACAACCGCGCTGACGACGCCGGCACAGCACTGCCCGCTACGTAGGCGTATCTGACAAATGCATGCTAATATGTCTGGATCAGGTTTTGACGTAGGCTTCATTGGTGTCGTGAAAGAGCAAGGCATTCTATTTTTCATAGGACTCAGAGGCATTGAAAGATCACGCACTGTATTGCTGATGAACAATTGCAATCTACCGTTAGTCTGACAACACTAGGACTTGAGATACAGCTCAAATGCACCCTCATGGAGCCCATCTCAGTCCGAAGCCTTATCATTCGTCTATATTGCTCGGAGCGAGTGTTGCTCATGAGCAACGGCCCCAGACTCAAGGATGACGGTGTTTATTGATGATTGTATTGGAGTAAGGCAGGGCGCCCAGGTCAGAGGTGGACTAGTAAAGCAGGAGATTTATGTCACCGTCAACTTTGACTTCGTTTGAACTATGGAGCTTTTCTTCTCTTGATTTACAGTTAACCGCGATAACACGAGAACCCTCAGAGGTATCCCCCCCCCTCCCCTAGAGGGGCAGAAAGCCTCACATAGGATAAGGCTGGCGCTTAATCTGATATGCCAATTGGGTGATGTCGTGTGCGCCAAGCAAATCTGCTGCTGACTGCAGGGAAGGGAAATGTTCTCAACACAAGGCAGACACGTTTGCTTCACAGCCTGGTCGCGTGAGACATGGGTCACTGGCCATCTTACTTAACAATTGCGTCTGGCAATGCCTGGTGGTTTGCTTCCCTTGCAAGATTTCGAGCAACAGCATTTACTCTGTCATCATGTCCTCTCCCGCCTTGCCATCGGAGACCGACGGTGCGAATGACTTACGGCCAGGAAGCAACGGTCAAATACATCCGCCTTCTCGTCGCCGCGGAATGCCGATCGAAGAGCAACGCAGTAACTCTTTCGAAGATTCTCGGGACACTTGTGCAGGTGACGAGCGCATGGCTTTCATTTCCCCAAGTAGTTCGGGCATTTCTGAGAACGAGACCTTGAAGGCCGCATCCGGCTCGACTGCGTCGGAACAACACCCTCACAACCGTGAAGCTGCAAGGCTCTCGGAAGGCGAGACATCGTCACATCAGAAAGAGCAGAATGCACTGCCTCGCAACGACACGACCCCCGAATCGGCATGGACAGTATGGTGGATCGAGATATTCAGCAGCATCTTGGCGCTGGCGTGTATCATTGCCATGGTCGTCGTTCTTTACCTTCACCAAGGGCAACCGCTTCCTAGATGGCCTAAGCTTATATCGATCAACTCCCTCATCGCCATCTTCACGGCCATATTCAAGGCCTCACTTATACTTCCGGTCGCCGAAGGTTAGTCGTAGCCTTGTTGCCGGACTACCCCGGCGCAGTGTATGAGAGACGCGTAAACATTCTGACAAGATCCATCGTTCTAGGCCTTGGACAGCTGAAGTGGAACTGGTTCGATCGGTTTCATAAACTGGGTGACCTTGTCGCTTTTGATAATGCGAGTCGAGGGCCGTGGGGCTCATTCCTACTATTGATGAAATGCATCCCGAGACCGGATAGAGGGTGAAAACAGCCCGAGAAAATTATTTTCCATCGTCTTACTGACATCTAAACAGATACTTGGCAGGGCTTGGTGCTCTCATCACAGTCGCAGCCCTGGCAATAGACCCTTTCTCTCAGGCAATGATTAGCCATAACTCTTGCGAGATCACAGCAGACTTTGGTCTAGCTGAAGTGTCTCGGACAATCAACTATTCGGGCAATATGGATACTTATGAAGGTATAGGCGCCGTTATCAATCAACCAATGTTAAGGGCAATCTACAGGGGCCTTGTAGATCTCCCCAAGCCCGGAGAACTCGTCGACTTCGCCTGTACTTCTGGCAACTGCACGTTTGAGCGAGATGGCGGTGGAAGCTACTCCTCGTCTCTTGGAGTTTGCCATCTTTGTGACGACGTCACGGAAAAGGCTGTTAATGTCAGCGAAAAGGGTCCCTCAGGCCACACGATTACTACATGGCACCTTCCATGGAGCGTCGACATGACGGCGGAGAGGCTCTTTAAGGTCAGGGGTAGCGGAAGACATGTTACGATGAGGCCGACGCCCGTTCTGGCGTACGAAAACAGGACCGCCCCCACCGGGCTCTGAGCCTCCCATCTGGGGAGTAAAGGCGCATGAGCTGTCGACCGTGTATTAAGAGGCGGGGGTGCACCTAGGTGATCCTTCTTTACCTGTTGGGAAGCAGACCTCATGACCCTGGTAACTTGGTTACTAAAACAGAGGGTCAACGCCGTGGGCTATCATGTTAAATATGGTATATTTTATATATTGTGTCTTTCCCTATTGGTTACCATCTACCTCTTGTGTGCCTTGGTTATTTTGAAAAATACAAAGCAAGCCTTATAGACTACTTTGGAAATTCAATTAGTATATAACTACTCTACGAAGGAGGTAGTAAAACAGGAGGTAAAAAAGGCAGTAGTAAAGGCAGCAGCAGCAGCAGCAGCCGCAGAGATAGATGCGACTTTATGATGTAGGGTACTTTGTATTTGTCTAGGTAATCTCTATCTATTCGCAACGTGTTGCTATATTAGTAAAAATAAGGCACTATTTACACATGACCCAAGGTTAGGGATGGGAGGTAACCTATACAACACGCTTGACCTCGTGAGAGTTGTTGAAGCGCGTAGTGGCGGCGATATCCTTGCGTTGATTGATTGCTATCCGTATATTGTATCTCCATCTGTTGTGCTACGCCGCCATCGCCGATCGGCCCTTCTAAAGGGGCAAATGCACGGATCATTATTTTCCCCAGGCGCACGCGGCCATTTCGCCCACTTTGACACATATTAGCTCTTGATAGTCTACGGAGTATTGCTAGCAAAAGGGCCATTTACAAGATAGCCTCTTAGGGTAACCCCCACCTAGTGACACACCTCACTAAACTCACAGCAGGTTATTGTTGTTCCCCCATTCCACTGCCGAGGCCTGCCTCGGCAGTCTCATCCACTTATTCAGTGACAATTACATGAGATAGTAGAACCAGCAAGGGTGGAAGAGACTTTGTGGTGCTTCGTGGTGCCCTATGTGCATAGACGTATGTCTGGCAACTCTGTTGCCGAAACACAGCGTTCACGATATCAGAAATTAGACCAAAGACCACGTATCCCCCGACCCGTTATGTCGGATCATATTCCTCTCTGGCCAATCGCCTCTGCTTGATTACATTAGACGGTGGAACGAGCGAGGGTGGAATCCATGTATATCTGACGGGAGCCCCCATCACCGCCAATTCTGCTTGCACGTCCTGCATCCAGTTTATGCCACTCTTCGCCTTTACGTAGATCGATCAGAATGGAGCTGTCAGCTCTCGTCGGTACGGTGTTGGCTGTCGTGGTAATCGGCTGCTACCTCCTCGAGTCGTACTTCTTCCTCGCCCATGACCCACGGGAACCTGCGTACATCCGGCCCAAGGTGCCGCTCATCGGACATCTCCTCGCCATCGACATGTACGGCGCCGGGAAATACTTTGCAAAAGTCGGGTGAGCCTCTTCCTCCCATTGACCCAGACGCCTTGGGTCTGTACGTCGTCTCATCTTCAATAACTAATATAAAACCCCCGCCACCGCCGCCAGAGCTCAAGCCAAGAGCAACATCTTTTCCTTGCCCATCTTCAACTTCAATTTCTACGTCATCCAAGACCGCACGCTCTTCTCCGCCATCCAGCGCAATGCCAAATCCCTCTCATTCGTGCCCTTCGCCATCAGGGCCATCCGGAACTTCAGCGGCAGCGGCGAGGAGACCTTGCGGCTGATAGACTACCTTGAGGGCGGGCCCGGGGCTAAGGAGTTCGACCGGGTCCAGCGCGCGGCGCTGGCCGCCGGCCCCGACCTCGACGAGCTGAGCCACGCCGCCACCCAGGTGAAGCTCGACATGGTCGAAGAGCTGCTGCGCGACGCCGGGCAGTCGACCGACTCGGCCGCCCGGGTCGACCTCTTCGCGTGGGTGAGGCACGCCGTCGTCATATCGACGACGGAGGCCATGTTCGGGCCTCTGAACCCGTTCAAGAACCCCGAACACGAAGCCGACTTTTGGTAAACTGATTTCCCCACCCCTAGACAAGAGACTGATTCCGCGTCTTTTGGTGCAAGGCGTGTGTTATGCTGACTGCGGCGCGCGCGTGTGTGATTAGGACATTCAGCAGCAAGGCACACGTGCTCCTCAGCGGCGGTTTCGTCGCCGACCTCGTCGCCAACCTCGTTGCCAAGGACACGATGCAGGCGCGTGATCGCAACGGGCAGAGATACGAGGAATACGTCAGCCTCGGGGGCCTCGAGAAGGCGTCGGGCCTGATCAGGGGCCGGTCGCGCGTGATGGCGGAGAACGGGGTGCCGGAACGCGATATCGCCCGCAGCAACATCGGCTTCGACATTGCCATGCTTGCCAACTACGTGCCCACGACGTGGTGGGCCGTCTTCGAGATCTTCTCCCGGCCCTGGCTCATCGAGGCGATCCGGGAGGAGGTCAGCGGGGCCGTCAGGCGGCAGGACGACGACAACGGCAGCGGCGGCTTCGTGCTCGACTTGTCCGTCCTCCGGTCGTCGTCGCCGCTGCTCCTGTCGTCGATCCAGGAGGCGCAGCGGCTGCACGGCATCCACGCGCACATCCGCGAGGTCATCCGCGATACGACGATCACGGTGGGCGACCAGCGGCCGCAGCTGCTGAGGAAGGGCAACTACGTGCAGATGAACAGCATCCCGGTGCTCCGCAGCGAGGAGACGTGGGGCGGCGACGTGGCGTCGTTCGACGCGTACCGCTTCATCAAGATGAAGAGGCGGCCCGAGGCGCCGGGGGTCGCGACGCCGGGCGACCTGCCGCCGCACTCGTTCCCGGTCTGGGGCGTGGCGCCGCACGTGTGCCCTGCGCGGTGGTTCGCGACGGGCGGGACGATGGCCCTCATCGCGATGATGGCGCTCAAGCTCGATATCGAGGCTGCGCCGGACGCCCGGGGCGAGGGTTCCGCGGGGCGGCAGTGGAAGATGCCCGCGGTCGAGGGTGTCTTTGTCGCGCTGCAGTCGCCCGCGGAGCCGGTTCCGGTCGTGGTGCGGCCGAGGAAGGGGTTCGAGGGCAAGTGGACGGTCGAGACGGGGACTCCCGGCACCAGGCTGCAGCTATCGGTGGGCTGATGCCGTGGGCCGAAGTGATGATTGGTAGGGTATATATCTTTATATATATATCTAGGTAGTCTCATGCGAGTGATGAGAGTCGGATGAATCGGCAACATCAGTCACCACGGTATGGTCAGGCCGTATAGTCAACACAATTTTGGAAGAAAGACGGGCGTCTTACTCCCCGGCCCCTGCTTGTTTATATCTTTATCACTTCCATGCCGCTCTGGTTAACAGCATTCGATTCATCCCGCTGGGTTCCCGCAAGCATCGAGTCTTTCAAGTCAGAGTCTCCATCTCTCGGTGCCATATGCTGCATACATTGCTTCTATGCTCTGCAACGGACAACACAGACACGACCAAAGCGGAGGACGGATATCCACTGTCGACAAAGGCAATGCTCATCGTCCATGTGGACAAGCTTCATGATTCGTGAAGCAAGTTGAACGGTCCTCCGACCTTCTTGATCCGGCCAAGTACGGAGCCGTTTCTTGTTCCCCCCGGCAACCGACTTCGGACCGGATAAGATAAGATAAGCATGATTAGCTAAGCATCGGCGTCGACTCACTCACCGTGACCAATCAGAGCGTCTACCAGCGTCAGGGTTCTCGGTACGTACTCTGCTTTCGATATCTAGGTAGGTACGGATACGGGTAGGTACCTGGGTACCTGGATACTTAGTGTACGTACGTACCTATGTATCTAGGTATCCTTGAAGCTTCAGCGATTAGCTAGCTGTCTTCAAACCAACCTCCAATCTCCCACCTCACACCTCAAACCTCTCCCAAACATCCTCTCTCACCATCTCCGTCTCGCTCTCGAATTTCTCTCTTCTCCTCATCCCTAGACCACAGATCCACGGTCTCGAATCGCGCCGTTTGCATCTGGTCCGAGACCAATGAACCGCTTTCTCCTGACCGACTCCAATAGCGCCGTTCAAGCTTCGCATCCTCTCGACGACTCGCCCGTCATGACCAAACATACCCCCGAGTCCCTCCGCAACCGCGTCTCCTCGCTCTCCCTCCGCCTCCAGGCCATGGAGGCTGCTGAAGCCATGTCGCGCTCTCAGTCTCCCGCGCCCCCCTCCTCCATGTCCGCCTCCACTACGTTGCCCTCCTCCGCCCGCAGCGCCGCCCCGGCCTCGAAGCCCTTCCTCCTCGCCGACATGGACGGTCGCCCGCCCGCCGAGAACCCCGTCTGCGAGGCCTGCTGGAACTCCCTCCGCTATAGCGAAGTCAGGCAGACCACCCGCGCCGCCCACCCCTCCGCCTGCCGTCTCTGCGCCGTCGCCGCCGGCAAGCCCGAGGCCTACACCAAGCCCTTTGTCGACTTCCTCGCCGAGAACCCCACAATCTTCCACACCGTCGACCACTTCAAGGACAAGCTCGCCGCCGCCGGTTTCACCGAGCTTCCCTCCCGCGACAGCTGGGCCGACAAGCTCAAGCCCGGCGGCAAGTACTGGACCACCCGCAACGGCTCCGCCCTCATCGCCTTCACCGTCGGCAAGGCCTACAAGCCCGGCAACGGCGTCGCAATGATCGCCGGCCACATCGATGCCCTTACCGCCAGGCTCAAGCCCGTCAGCTCCAAGCCCACCCGCGCCGGCTACCTCCAGCTCGGCGTCGCCCCCTACGCCGGCGCCCTCAACCAGACCTGGTGGGACCGCGACCTGGCCATCGGCGGCCGCGTCGTCGTCCGTGACGAGTCCTCCAACAAGACCACCACCCGCCTCGTCCGCCTCGACTGGCCCATCGCCCGCATTCCCACCCTCGCCCCTCACTTTGGCGTCGGCATGATGGGTCAGAACAACCCCGAGACCCAAGCCGTGCCCATCATTGGCCTTGACTCCCCGTCCGACGATTCTTCCGCCGCCGCCGCCCCCGTCGAACCCCTCGGCCCCAAGGGCGCCTTCGTCAACTCCCAGCCCCCGAAGCTCGTCAAGCTCATCTCCAGCCAGCTCGGCCTCTCCTCCCCGACCCAGATCATCAACTGGGAGCTCGAGCTCTACGACTCCCAGCCCGCCCAGACCGGCGGCCTCGACCGCGAGTTCATCTTCGGCGGCCGCATCGACGACAAGCTCTGCTCCTGGGCCGCCCTCACCGCCCTCCTGGCCGCCGAGTCCGACCCCGACGACGGCGTCATCAAGCTCGTCGCCCTCTTCGACGACGAGGAGATTGGCTCCCTCCTCCGCCAGGGCGCCCGCGGCAACTTCCTCCCCCTCACCATCGAGCGCGCCGTCGAGTCCCTCAGCGGCGCCGCTGGCATCGCCTTCGGCACCGACGTCCTCTGCCGTACCTTCGCCGCCTCCTTCCTCCTCTCGGCCGACGTCACCCACGCCGGCAACCCCAACTTCCTCGGCTACTACCTCGACGAGCACGTGCCGCGCCTCAACGTCGGCGTCACCATCTGCGGCGACAGCAACGGCCACATGACGACCGACGCCGTCTCCACCGCCATCCTCCAGCGCGTCGGCGAGCTCAGCGGCGCCCCGACCCAGACCTTCCAGATCCGCAACGACACCCGCAGCGGCGGCACCGTCGGCCCCATGCTCAGCGCCGCCATGGGCGTGCGCGCCGCCGACGCCGGCCTGCCCCAGCTGAGCATGCACTCCATCCGCGCCACCACCGGCGCCCTCGACCCCGGCCTGGGCGTCAAGTTCTTCAAGGGCTTCCTGGACCACTGGGAGAAGGTCGACGCTGAGTGGCACTAGGTTTACGGCCTGGGTGAGGAGTTATTGGGGGAGGAGTGCATAAAGGAAATCGATAGAGAGAGAGAGAGAGAGAGATGGCGGTTCAAGCGTGGCGTACAGTAGGGTGTTGGACCGAGTATGAATTACGACTGCTTGTAGATAGTCATGTATCAGCACGATTTAGACGCTTGCTTGATTATGGATCACGTTGCATGTCATGGAACATGTGGCACGGCTTTTATCCAAACACAATTTCTTATTTCCATAAGAATTACCACGATTCACAAAAAAAGGCATCATGTCGTGATATATATATATATATATATAATGTCTACTGATTACCATTACCGGCGCACCGGACTCCCGTCCCCGTGCTCGTGCACCAGCCTCTGCGCCTCGCGGATCTCCATGGAATCCGCCTCGTCGTCGTCGTCGTCCGACCCGCCCGAGGGCACCTCGCGGCCGCCGTCGTCGTCTTCGTCTTCGTCGTCGTCGTCGTCGCTCGCCATGCCGCCAGCCTCCTCGTGCTTCTCCACGTCGGCGTCGACCGGCTTCCTCCTCTTTTCGAAATCCTGCCTGTGCGCCCTCGGCGATGATCTTGGAGAAGCTCCGCTGCAACGGCAAGATGCCGCTCCGCCTCCTGCGCCGCACCGTGCCCTCCTCCGCCATTCTCTGGTCCGTCGTCGGCCGCGCCGTCGTGGTGCCGCTCGCACCAGCCGCCCCCGAGTCGAGCCGCGCCTCGCCCGTCGTCTCGGCCACGTCGTCGTCCTTGCCGCTGCCCTCCTCCGCGACCCCGGGGAACCGCTGCGAGACGCGCGGCTCGACGGGGTAGGGCAGCGGCACGTCGCGTGAGGCCTTGTACTGGGCGACGTTGGCGCAGTGCTCGTTCTCGACGCGCAGGAGGGTCCACATGCCGCGGCGCGCGACTTCGGCGAGGGCGACGAGGAAGGAGACGATGGAGGAGTGCTGCGTGTCGTGGGTGAAGATGGCGTAAAAGATCCAGGAGAAGCGCAGGATCGGGTCGGTCACCATGATGAAGTAGTACGGCCAGCGTTTCTTGAGGCCCGTGATGTCGCGGAGGAGCCAGAGCCTGCTGTGCGGCTGGAGGAGGGAGAAGTCCATGAACAGGTCCCAGATGGCTGGTCACCAAACGTTAGCATCGCAAGGCCTAGATGCGGTGAGGGCAGCAGACGAAGAAGCGGCTGGCTTACAGGTATATACGGCATTGATGGTGGCAAAGGTAACAAACATTGCCAGGTTGCCGTGCGTGTTGTCGATGCGGTACATGGAGAGCGACATGGCGGCCAGGATGGACATTGTGTACTTGCCGCCGTTGACCAGGTGCGGGAAGATGTTCCTTGTGTCCCTGTAACGCCGCAGACATTGCAGGAAGCGCCAGATGGGTGGCAGCGCGCCCAGGAAGCCGAGGAGCCGCGAGTGATTCGAGTTGCACTGCGTTGGGTTGTCCCATGCATTGGCGTAGAGACAGAAGAACAGCTCGATGTTCTAGTGGGTGTCAGCTGAGAGCGTGACCAAGGCGTAAAGTAGACCATGCCAACTTACACACATGGCGTATGACAGGGAACAGTACATATCGCCGAGGAAAAAGTCTCGAAATTCTACCGGATAGAGACCGGCAAGCAAGAGACGCCACTACACGCAGTCAGTGCTGTGCCCCTTCCTTGCTGAGGGCTTACAAATTGAACTCACATGGGCGTATGCAAACCACTTTCGACTGCGTGCCATGAGTATCGGCGCGGGCATGAAGATGATGGCGGCCGACAGAGCTATCAGAACCACGGGGTAGTATTCGTACACTTCGTTGGTCCCATACTCGCTAAAGTTGAGCCATATGAAAACACCAAATATGAAGGTGAACAAGCTGGGGAACTCGGCGAGCTGTCGCCAGTCGAGGTTGGTGCGGGTGTCGAATTCGAAAATGAAGGGGTAGTTGATCTTGTTGCGTGTCCAGATGGCGCAGTTGACGCAAAACATGCTGAACAGCAAAAGCATCAAGAAGTAGCCTCCGTAGATCTGCATGAGATAGCCCGTCCGCGCCCGTACCTCTGCGTCATCGTCGAACAGGAGCTGCCCGCCAAATACGGTTCCTTGGATGGCAAACACCAACCCGGTGCCCAGGAGGATGCCGCATCTAAAGGCGCTGCCCGATTCGTCGCCGGGCCTCCGGCTCAGGCTTCGCAGCTTGCCGGCCGCAATCTTGTGGTTCCCGCGCTCAAAGTAGCGGGCGTAGAGGTCTTCCACAGCCTTGATGTGGCCGTCGACGACCTCGCTGTTGACGAACCACGATTTGTTGACCTTTTCGTTCATGTACCGGTACTGCGGGCGGGCCTTGACGGCCTTGTCGTACTTCTTGTTCAGCTTCCGGAACGCCGTCCGGTTGAGCAGGGCGTACGACTTGAGCAGCTCGAGGCCGCGGTAGAACTCCTGCATGGCGAGCTTCAGCTTCCTCTTGGCGGTGCGGTACGGCACGTCGTGCTCGTGGGGCCGCCGGATGTAATCTCGAGTTGCGTCGCCGCCCTCGGCTGGGCGCATGACGGGCGTGTGCGCCATTTTCGACAGAGCCCGGGAGTTGGGCCCCGGGCGGAAGATCTTGGTTTTGACAGGATCGATCCAGCCGAGGGGGCCTCTCTGCGCAGCATCGCGGTCTCCGTCGCCTCGGCTCAGGAATTCCATCTCAGCCTGCCGCTTTTGGGCGTTGATCTCCTGTATGCGTCGGTTCCTCATCTCGTGCAGCTGTTCCTTGAGCAAAGCCAGACGCTCACCAGCCTGGTCCTCTTTCATTTTGTAGAACTCCTCAACCTTTTCCAACTCCGAGTCCAGGAACTCAAAGAATTCCTTCTCCTTCTGTCTGACCATGTCCAATGCCGAGGGCTGGAGGCCGTATTCCGAATTTGTCCCCACTCGGCCCAGGTGCGACGCGCCTGAGAACAGCCGGCGGAGCCCGCCGCGGGGCGAGGCATTGGGGCCGGGTCCGATGGTCGCCGGGTGGGGCAGTCGCAGAGATGACGGGGTGCGTTCGTGTTCGGTGGCAGGTGTGCCGACTGGACCAGGCACACTCTCGTCGACGGTCGCGCTTCTATGGAGGGCCTGTCGTGCTGTGGATACCGCTTGCGTTGAGGCGGCTTGCGGGCTGGGACCGCTGTGAGGGGAAGGCGCATGCATGGCTGGCCCAGGCAGCTCAAAGGTTTGCCTGCGATCCAAGGGGCTTCCGGTCTCGTGTTGAGGCGGAGTATGAACGAAGCTCCCATAACGCAAGTCGCTTGGCCCATCGTTCCAGCCTTGACGGTCGTTGTGCGAAGCGGGCGTGGGGATCGGATGGGCGGGCTTCTGGTGCGCCGAGCCAACTGGGGCCGGGGTGCCGCGCAGCGAGGTGCGCTCATCAGGGGCATTCGAGGCCTTGGAACGAGTATGTCGATGACTGCGGAAGGGTGAGTGGGCGTGGAAGAGGTAGGAGGCGGTGCCGTTCTGATTCTCGGGCCCGCTGGCGTTGTTCAAAGGGCTACCATTGGCGCGATTGATGGCGCGCGACACAGCCTTGACATGCTTCTTGCCGGCCTTGTAGTTGAGATATTTGATACGCCATTCTATCGGACGAGTGCGGGGTCAGCTGGCGGAAGAAGCAACGAGGGACAGAGACATGGAGGCGAGGCTTGTCGCGTCGCACCTGGTACGAGGTCTTGCTCGAGCTCCTTTGCGAACTTCATGACGGAGTGGTGGTGGTGGCGGCGGCGGCGGCGGCGGCGCGGCCTGCTACCTCTTGCAGAGCGAGTTCCAGCAGAACGGGCGAGTAAACGCCATGAAACCTTGAGACGAGATCGGGGCCGTCAAGGAGCGTATGCAGATGTCGGTGTATTGCGGTGTACTCCGTATAGTAGGTAAGTACTATGGATGGTGTGCACGTAGGTAGACCAGCCAATGCTTCGTCGCGCTTCGTTTCGTTTCGTTTCGTCCACAGAAAGAGAGGGAGAGAGAGAGAGAGAGAGAGAGAGACTTCCGGGTGAGAGAATGAGGTCCGGGCGTGTCAATCGGATCTTGGCGCTTTCGTCTTGTTTTCTTTTCCCCCCTTTTCGTGGAATCGGTGAGTACAAAGGCGGCTGAACCAGTTGTTGTAATTTTCTCGAGGTGCAGGACGCAGGGGTCACTGGTTCGGCTGTTATTGTCACCCCGCTTTTCCTTTCGTCTGAATTTTGACATGTTTTATCGCTATCGATTGCGTGCGTACCCGCTACTTGAGGGTGAGGATAGTGATTTCTGCCCACCAAGGGAGTCTTATCGGATTGCTGCTAGTGGAAGTGAGTGCTGAAAGTTGCTGTATTCCAGGAGGGGATCCTCCTGTGTCAGTGTTTGCTTATGTCAGCTCGGTACGGAGGACTCGTTCTTCTTTAGAATTCCACAGTAAGTACGGATACCGAGTACGTATCACATGTGTAACTGGTAAACCTGGAAGGCAAAGAAAGCAACGCCTTTTCCTACCATCGCCCCCCCCCCCCCCCCCCCACGGCTTCTTCAGCACAAACACTACACTGTCCGTCATCCATATCAACTGGACAAACGCCGTTTCATCCGTTTTGAAACCTTCCGACGACATGGCCAGCTGAACCCCACGAGAAGGTTTTCAGGGATCGGCCGGCCTCGCTGAGATACGCTGGCTGCATACCTTCTGCTCAAGGTCCTCGAGTCAACCCGTCCTTCACAGACACGGCAGCCATGTCGATACTGGGGTCTATCTAGTCAAGGATGAACTGTTTCTCAAGGGATGATTTGCATCGCGGACCAACGAGAACACCTGGCCCAGCACTCTTGGCGCATCCTGGACAGAGGAGCTATGGCCGCGAGGGTTGCTCGAATCATGAATGGCCTCAAGAGGTGAATTTGCAGCTTCAAGCGGCTTTCTCTCGATTGCCACCATAACCTCCAACCAATTTTCCAGCAAGAAGAAGCACTTGTTCCCGGAAGCGCAATTGGTCATGGATGGCGTCGAGAGTCGATACTGGAGGCACTTCCAACCCGACGATCCCAGTTGTTTCCACCGTTTTTGCACCATGCAACTGCCTTAATAGGCGTGGGCAGCCCCGAAAACCAAGCCTTGGCCCTTTCAAACATGCCAACTTCCAACAACTTGGTGCATACTTCAACCCAGCCCAGCTCGCCGCATATCGACGGGTCTAGAGAGGATCAAGAGAGGGGGGGACCTATCGCCTGGTCAGGGATGCATGTTGATGGCAACGCACCTTGTCACATTAGGCATCCCGTCCGGCCGCCGGTCCTCAACCCCCGTCCCCCGAATAAAAGTCTATTCCAGTATAAGCTAGGAGCTCGCCTTGTCAAATAGTTCCACGATCCACGATTGGAGACGACCCATTCAGCTGCATGTCGTACACTACAAACTGCTCCACGGTCCACGGATGTCTTCCGGTGCCCGTGGTGGACTGGGCCAAGCCTTTCCAACGACGCTGCGGCAACTGGTCTCCCTAACCGTACGTTGGGTTCGGGTTCTGCGCCAACGGTGGGTTTGTGTGGCGACGACGAATGGATACCCTGCAGTCAGTCTGCAAAGGCAATGGAGTGGTCACGCAACCCCCATGTTTCTTTGCTCTTTTGCAGCACTCGAATCTACGGTACTTAATCGCTCCAGCTAGGGCTTTTGGAACGCATGGGACGGACACCACGGGTCCTCCCTCAGCGATGCAACCATAGTGGCTGGACTGGAGCTGCGCGGTGCGAATCCGCAGGTCAACCTGAGACATTGGTTCGCCTGGCTCATGCAAGCAAGATAGATCCGACGCCCCATTCCTAACGAAGAATGTCACATTCAACCTCAAGCGTCGCCAATGTAACCTAATGGGCGACATCAGTCTCGGGCATCCTCAACAGGGAGCCCTCAGCTGCTCCGAATCAGCAGCAGACTGATTATTCAGGGCCGTCAGTACCCTGATGTCTCTGCTCAGAACTAAGCGAGTGCCCTTTTGTTGGGTGTCTGGACGACTCTTATTCAACCCCTCCCAAATTACAACAGCCACGAGTTCACGAGATCTCGTCGTAGCGAGCACAGCATCTGTTCTGTGTTCCACAGCGGCGAGAAATCGACTGTCTCGTGCCATGAGCTTCCCTCTCCTCTCTGCCTCCAACCTGGAGAACAAGGATATTGGCTATCATTGACAGGGTATGGATTCCCTCGCCGTGACGGAGCCTGCAGCAACTCATGCTGTATGTCTCGAGTCCCCCCCCCCTCCCAATGCCGCGCCGAGGTTTGGCTTGGGGGGGACCTCGCTTGTCGGCGCAATCGCCTTGTTTGCGGTAATAGGCCGTGTGGTTGTGTTTCTGGAATCATGTTGGACATGAGCTTCCGGATACGGGACATGATGGGACCCATGCGCCGCCTACGCCGCATCAGCCCGGCCCAACAGACCCTGTCGCTCGGCGTGGACGCCCCTTCTTATTTTCGTTTGCAAAGACGCGTGCATAGTCTTATCGCCTCTTGTTTGCCTTCCCGTGTAAATCGGGGCTTCTTGTGGGTAGACTGACAGGAGACAGGAGGGGCAAGATGTGCGAGCGGCCGCTGAGCCTTTTCTTTTTCCCTAACATGCCACCCTACGCACGCAGTCTTGATCACCGCCAACTGCAACATTGTTTGGTCACTTCACAAAGTCCTTTACCAAGTTGCTGGGACTGTCAAACATTCCATAGTCGTGATTGGTTGCATACAGTTCTCCTCAAGGCGCGAGTAGGTATCCGAGGCACCACGACTTGATGAAGCAACCACTCATCTATATCAGGCCTGGCCTTCCTCATACCCACACTCTTCGTTAATATACCCTTGCATCGTCTTGTTTGCGTTTATTTTTTCTTTGGGTTTTCTTTAGTTGGAATTGAGTGCAGTCCGCACAAACCGAAAATGGCTCGGTCAGACTTTTTGCAAAGAGACTCTCAGAGATTTACGAAGCACCTGAGGCGAACACTCTCATTGCTCGAGACGCAGCAAGACGAAAAATTGAGCAGCGGTAGACGGTATTCGAAGAGTTGGTTCTCATCCTCGAGGAACCCTCTGTGCTTTAAGAAGTACAAGGGTACGGTTGACGGCGAAGCCATCCACGAAGACTCGAAAGATGATACGCCCACGCAACCGCTACATCAGTTTCACTACTTCTCACAACTACCTCCCGAGATCCGCGAGCTGATTTATCGGGAGTTCTGGGCAGTCGCTGGCGTCAAAAGACATATGTTCCTCCACGAGCACAAGACCACTTACTCTCCGTGTATCACGGACCATACGGCGCCGGATGAGCGGCAGATCGGGGTCGCCAAGGCTTTTGAGGAATCCGGCAGCGACGCCAAGGTGCAGCTGCATCCGGAGTGGTACAAGAGGATGACTTCGAAATGGTGCAACCACTGGAGATGCGAGAGGTTGTGGGAGGACGTGCGAGACGGCAGGAAGATTGACGCGCATAAGACGCAGTCTTACATGTCTCTCCTTCTCTCTTGCAAATGGATGCAAGTTTTTTTTTTAAGTTTTCGTTTTCTCATGGCCTGGTCTGAATTCAATCTCCTGAAGCAAAAAAAAAAAAAAAATAAAGGAGGAAAAGCTAATCAGATCGGCCGCCAACTCAGATACCAAGAATGCCATTCGACCCTCAAAGAGTATAAAACCCTGACCATCACAGACAGCAAAGCCCTCCAGCGCATCTTTCGGTCTCCGCCGGTTGCCTACCTGTACGAAGCTACGTACATCAACATCTCGCTCCGCGAAGACAGCGGCAGCTGGCTTTACCTCAACGGCGGGTCCTTGTGGCACATACTCTCGGAGCACGGCTGCAAGATGACGCGCACCTATCTCTGGCTCGACGCCGAATGCCCCGTCACGCGCCGGCTGCTGACCGAGTACCGAGAGCTGTTCAGCAATGTGCCGTCCGCCATGGCGCGGCGGCTGACAGTCGACCTGCCCTGCGACGCGCACGACGGCTTCTGGGCGTGGGGCGAGGTCGAAATGGAGAAAAAGAATGGCAGCGCCGGCGGGTACCGTGACCATGGGACGGAGTGGCTGACGCCGCTGGTGCCCAAGTTCGCGGTCGTCGCGCGGGGACGGCAGAGGTACAACGAGACATCCGGGGGATACGTGAGCAGCGTAGACCAGGGGCGGCCGAAGCGGAGGGTCCTGCGGGCGAGTAACCCGTTTGAGGACGTTTTGCTGTACGGGAGAGAGTTTCTGGAAACTGCGCATGCCTGGAGGGGAGAGGATTCGAAGAAACCGATTAACGCAATACGATGACGTGACCCTATCCAAACGAGGGATGGCCTTTACAGGGACATTTTGGTATTTGTAGTGGCATGGAATTATAGGTGTAATATGGCACACATTATGAACTACGCACGGCACAGTTCAGCTTTCTATCAGGTCCACTGAATCCCGTACTCGTAACTGGATTACTATGTTGTTTCTAAAAGTAATCGATAATCATTGGGTGGGTTCGCTTCGGCCGGGCTGGCTGGTTGCTCTATCACGGTCATCAATGTGTAATATACCGTGGTGGCGATCCGTAGGCAATGTCTGCAGGCTACGATTATATAGAGTGAAGGGGTTAACAGTAATAATAGTAGGTGTAAATTATCACAATTGTTCTAACCTATCCTTCCTTTTCCCTACAACCTAGTAGAAAAATCCAATTTACGTTTCTAGTCCTTTCTATGTATTCCTGTAACCAACTAGTCATCCATTCACATGCGACTGTAAACCATTCCCCTTGGCTCTAGAAGATCGCTTGGTTCATGTTATAATATGACTTGGAAAAGGAGATCAAGAGCTGTCCATTTCCTAGGAAAGCGTTTACAGGCTGAATAGGGCATATACGCCTTCTAAAACCTGCAGTCCTACTGCATGAGAGGCCATATAGGCTACAAGTGGTAAGGTAATGATGGACCAATGTATTTTGGCGTGAGAAGATTTAGTCGTTTCTTGCGTCTAATTAATGAATTATGCTTTCGAGAGCCTGAACGACATGTTGAGCTTGCCCGGTTCTATGCACGGCATAGCTGATGGTTCAGTCAGTCGTTGTCTGGTTTTCCTCTACTTGGGCGGGCTTCCTTCCATAGATGGACCAGCTGGTAAAAGTCAGTCAGTCTTAATTCTCCATCCCAAGGCGCTTGCTAGGAAGAAGAGCGTTGGGTTTGTCTCACATGTTGAAGTAGGCGTGGATGTTCCGGTCAGCAAAGTCCTCTCGCGCCTTCGTCATCATTGCCGTGACCTCCTCCCTGGTCCAGCCGAGGCCCCGCGTGTAGGACGCCAGGAACATCCCCTCCAGATTGGGCGCGAGGTTCTCGTGGTTCCAGATGCCGAGCTCCCTGTGCTTCGCGGCCTTGGGCCAGCTGTTGGTCGGCCACTTGAACCGCTGGACGTGGACGTCTTCGAAGCCGGCCTCCTCGAGGACGCCCTCCATGCGGGCGAACTTCTCAAAGGGCGATCCGAGCGCCGCGAGGCCCTCGGCCCACAGGTTAAAGCTCTTCATGAGGTTGCAGTCCTCTGTGAGGGTGCCGTCGTCGGATGTGGGGAGCGCGTCGACTTCGTTGAGCTCAAGGTAGCCGCCGGGGCTCAGGTTGCTGCCGCCGGTCAACAGAGGACGGATGTGTAGCTTTTTGTAACTTACTCATAACATTGTTTGACATATCTGTTCCAATCGCGAATGCTTCCCGTCATCATCCGGCTGTGTATGTAGTCGAAGGGCGTGGAAAAGTGCCAGTCCTCTTCGATGTCATCGATCTCGAAATGGACGTTGGGCGGAACACTATGAAGTCGAGACCCAAGTCAGCGTTTCTCCCCCATCATACTGAATAGATGTGTACCGCACAAGCCGGGTTGGACAGCTGATAAGTCAACCCCAGTGACCTGTTTGATGATTCAGCAAGACGCATTTTCAGAAGGCGCAAGGTGCCCCCGACTCACGTCGGCCTCGGGGTGTTCGTCGCCGAAGTCGATGGCCCAGATGCCGGAGCCGGTCCCGACATCGAGAACCCGCCCGGCCTTGTAGTCTTTTCTGCTGGGTGGCGCGGTTCCGAGACGGTCGTCAAATGTCCGGAGCATGAGGTTGTGTTGCAGATCTACCCAGTCAGTCTCATCCGGTCGGAAAATGCCCCGAGGTGTTCACGAGAGGGCGTACCGAGTCTATCATTCTCTCTTTCGTCGTTTGGCATCGCGTACTCTGACTTGGTCAGCCTCGGCAAAGACGAATCCTCTCGTGTCGGATACACCCACTTCCATCCTTGTATCTGTGATAGGTGCGTCCGTTCTCGATACGGTAATCAAGGACCGAGCTGGTCACGCTCGTGGTTGACGAAGCAATGCTCTCCTGAGAAATAATTACCGTGTCAGCACCAAGATCCAGGGCGGTTGGGAATACACAGACATTCGGGTTCCTTACACGGTTCAGCGAGGCATCATCGTCTGAAACCTGCGTAGATAAGCAATCTCGTCAGTTCATGTGTCGAGGTTCACCATCTGAGAAATGATCTGTACATTGTCCGCTACAAGAATGTCATTGCTTTCTACATTAGAACGGTGCTGCGTCGTGTCTTCGTTGCCAGGTTGGCTGATGCTAACGTGATGGTCGGCCATTGTGCTAACGAACGAGAAGAAGCGCTTTCGACTTGTTAAGCTTTTGCTTCCCAAATACGATAAGTGATTTTCACTGTCTCTCTTCTCAAACGCCCTGTGTATAAATACCCCGTCCGAGTGGAGCACAACCCGGGTCACACCACGCGGTGATGCAACCGCTTCCGGAGCTCAGCTTGTTGGTTCACGCTGAAACCCCTCTTCTCGACAGGGAAAAGAATGCACACTGGCTGCTTGGTGCATTGCACTTTGCAGGTCGTCCAGTGACAGAAGACGATTCGCCAACAATTGATACTTGGCAGTATGCAGCCCAGGTGACGGTCGAGCGGACGTGGCTCCGATTCCGTGAAATTGTTGGTGCTGTTGGACGGCTCGACGGCACGACGGCAGCCGGTTTTCAACATGGTTGGGACGTTGGTATTTCCCACCATGATCACCGATTATGACATATCATAAACGTGTTGAGTGCTACTTGTTAAGGGTTATTTCTTCGCATGTATGCTGGCATATTGGACAAAACAATTATTACGGTCACTAGATGATGAGGTTGTTGTTGTTGTTATATTTAATTAACGCCGGGCCGTTCCTAAAAAGGACATAGAGCCCCTGGGGTAGCTAGCTTCAAATGAATAAATATAGAACTTCAAACTACTTATCGCCCTGCCATGACCAATATGTTGTCGATGGTCCCATCATCGCCATCTGTGTGCCAACCTCCCAGGAGGTCATACTGGTCTTGTTCGTTGCTGTCAAGTGCCCATCGCTCTTCAGCGTCCAGGATCTACGCGATGTCCCCTAGTCGCCTTGTGTCACGCAGGGCTTCTAGGGGTATCCGTGTCTCTTGCCATACAGTGATATTAGGTCACTGGGCGAGGCAGGGTGTTTCGATTGCTCAGGTTGTCTTTGGAGATTGATTGGGCAGTGGATCGAATAATTTCATTGCGCTTCCTACCCCGTTTTTTTGGTAGAGTATCTAGTGGCTATTCGAATTGCAACATGGGTGTACGCGCCCAACCAGTAGCGGCGTGTTGATCAACAATCAATGAGTTAATCGGTTGTGGCGGCGGGGGCCGAGGGTTAGTTTTCCTCGGTTTTCAAGGGCTTCCTTCCGTGGATGGACCACCTGGAAAAGTCAGCAAAGACGTCTCACATGAGATTCGGGGGTTCAGTCTTACATCTGGTAATAGGCGTGGATATTCCTGTTGGCAGTGTCCTTGCGGGCCCCCATCGCAAGGACCAAGACCTCCTCTTTCGTCCAGTCCAGGGCCCGAGTTAAGGGAGCCATAAGGAAACCCTCCCAGTTAGGAGAAATGTTCTCGTAATTCAACATACCCAGCTCCTTGTATTTTGGGTCCTTGGGCCAGCTGTTCGTTGGCCACTTGAAGCGCTTGACTTGGACATCTTCAAACCCGGCATCCTTCATAACGCCTTCGAGGCGTCCAACAGCCTCAAACGGTGTGTCCAAGAGAGCCATCCCTTGAGTCCACAAGCTGACAGCCTTCACAATGGAGGTGTCTTTGGTAAGTGTGCCGTCGTCTGAGACTGGGATGACGTCTCCTTCGGTAAGCTCAAGATAACCTCCAGGAGCCAGGTTCCTAATCTCAAGATTAGGTTTCTTTGGCCTCTACAAGAAAATTATGTACTTACTCAAAGCAGTTCTTGACGTATTTTTTCCAATCTCTGATACTACCAGTCATCAGTCGACTATGGATATAGTCGAAAGGCTGCGAGTACTCCCAAGGTTCTTCAGCGTCATCAACCACAAATCGAACATTTGGTGGCACGCTGAGAATTGAAGTTTAGTACTTGAGTATTGTAGATACAATTTGTTAGAGTAGGAAGTTACGCACAATGAACTCGGGGGTGGAGACAAGTCGATACCCAGGACCTTTCGAAATGTTAGCACGCTGCAATATACAATAGCTGGTTTTAACCTGCCTCAGCTTCGGGGTGCTCTTCGCCAAAATCAATAGCCCAGAGACCGGTCCCAGTGCCCACATCGAGGACCCGTCCAACCTTTGCGTCCGGGTCGTTCGGGGGTGCAGTTCCGAGCCGATTGTCGAATGAGCGGAGGAAAATCTCGTGCTGCAGGTCTACATTGTTTCCGTATCAGCCTGAGACGACAAAGGTCTTAAGATAAACCAAAATAACGCACCAAGTCGATCGAGTTCCTGTTCGTCATTGGGAACGAGGTATTCTTTTTATGGTTAGCTTCGTCTTCGGTGCATTTGGCCTACCGACGTCATTGTAGGTATATGGACTTACTCCCGTCCTTGTATGCATGGTACGTCCGCCCATTCTCTACTCGGTAGTCCCTGACTGAAGCTGCTAAACTCGTGGTCGATGTAGCAACACTTGCCTAAGATCTTGGTCATCAGTTCTGGAATGTTGGCCAGGTCGACAATCAGAGTACTCACGTGGCTCACTGATAAGCCATCATCGACGTCCTGAAGAGAAATAGAGCGGGTCAACATAAATGCTCATTGAGATGCGTTAACAGAGATCTCACGTCGTCGACAGCAATGACGACATTGTTGTCGTGAACAGCGGCCTGTGGGACACTGACATCAGCATTAGGAGGACTGCTGGCCCCCGTTGCCGCAGTAGTTGTAGCGTTGTCGGACATTATGCGTGATTAGTAGGTAACGGTTAGCAACTTGAAAAACGTGTCAAAAAGCGAGTTCCCATACCAAGAAACTCGCAGGTTACATGGAATATATACCAGGGCATGGGAGCGTATGGATCACACTCGCTACGCGGCGATATACCCATTTCGGGAGGCCGGATTTGTTGTCCCTGTTACCCCTCTTCTCGGCTACAGACAATCACGCAGGCTTGCTGCAGTCCACTCACAGAAGATCTGCAGCCTGACCCTAGTGGCCACGACTTGTTATCCAGGAACAGCAGTTGGAGGGCGGGCCGGCATGGGGGGATGGGCATATTTTGAACGGTAGTCTAGCCTCCTTTGGCGGGTTTGTTTGTTGGTCCTTCATGGTGCGATATGTGATACTAAACGCCCCACACACCCTGGTTTTCTGGTTCTGGTATGCATTATCACTCTTCACCTTCATCCCCGTCCAACATCTTGGTACAGTTCGTGTTGGCGGTCAGATGGAGGATTTACTCCCGCTGATAACAAGGGGGGGACTCTCTATACAGCTTCGCTTCACGGCTGATAATGCCGATATGCTTCTCCTGTTTCGAAGGGTCTAAATGCAAGGAAGCTTCGGCGTGAGTGGTCATATTCCGCGCTGGCAACTTTTAATTAGCGGTGGGTTCTACCCAGCCCGAGGCATCTGGCTGCGCCATGGTACCGTCTGCTTCTCGAAAAGACAGACGCTGCCAAGACAACCTTGCCAAACAAGCTCAATGGTAGCGAAACCTTCAAGGTAAATACCAACATAACGGTTAGGGTGAGTTTGGTTTGGGCCGGCAACCAAAGCCGATGCCTTACCTCAAACGACAGGTATAGTTTTCATAAGACTGTCAAGATTTCCGTTACCGATGGCCTGGGTTCCTCCGAACCTTCAATGATCTACGTACTTTATTTTGTGGAAACACTCCAGTAAGTGAGACAGGAAGTATATTATACCTTGAAAGGTAAACAGGGCTGGCTTATTCCACACATTGATCCCCCTTAGAACCATTTCCTCCGTAGGTTCTCAAGTCAAGGATCGCATTTCGTGTCCGTCTCCGCCCACTATATAGAATCGGTTGCTATTAGGCTGTCTCATGAATAGGCTACGCCTACCAAATACAGCGTTATTCTTTTGATATATATAACCTCGTACTTGCTGCTAGGAACTTTTGAAAGAAAAGTCCTACACCTAATTAAGTAGAGGTCTGTCTGCCCAAGAGCCCTATCCTTTTTACTTGAAGGAGGGCGGTAGTGCACGAAAACTGCCTGATTTCTCTGGTTGCTAATCAGAGGTTACAAAAAGGCCTTCTTGCAGTCAGAATCAACCCGACGGTTTGCGTATCAGAAACAAGCTCTTCTTCCCAGGAGTATGCCACTTCGCCATGCGGGTTTGTAGTTGGAGACGACAGTGCTAGTGAGAGTTGTGACTAAGCAAGGCTTAATCTCAAGGGAGGCATCTTGTTGAACAAATAACTGTATGTGCCTGTTACTTCTTCTTCTTTTCGGACTTTGCGGTTTCCTTACTCGTCGTTGTCAAGGGGATACCGCATTGAATCGTCACTACACCGTTCTATAGCCTCATAAAGGAAAATATTGACCGAATGAAGGTCGTGGCGGGGTTGGGAGTGAACAAACAAAAGGTTAAACAGGTTGAGAAAAGAAAGACACCCCGCCGTAAGTAAGCAGATGGCCAGCCCCCCTAGTACAATTCCGCTATCAACATGAACTAGGTTTGGTACTTTCAATGTTCAGTATTCGGCTGCGGTTGCCCACGAACATGGCCCAAAAATTAAGAATTGAGAGAAGCTATAGTTCGTAAACTATAACCTCGAGACAGCGCCAATGGGGCTCGGGTTTCTCGGGTTCCCTCGATTCCCCGTTGTCTCGCTTTTTCGGTTTCCCTACTCGAAGCCAAAGATGTTAGTGACATTGGACCCGACTTTTGCCCCGGGTTCGGACTGGTCCCCCCGATGTTCCGATTGCTAAACGAGGAATACGAGCGCCAAGGGGGGAACTCCGCTCATTGGTGTTAGGTATACCACCCCGTCTCTCAATCCCGCCTCTCGCGCCATATTCGACGCAGAAATCATTGACCGTACCGTCTGGACCGACGTATTCTCGGAGTCTCCTCGCGTCCGCCCGCCGTCCCGGCCTAGTCCAAATCGTCCGACCCTTGACGTCAACATCCCGGAGACTTAATCTGGCTGTGCGCCGGCAGTGGATTGCCCTAGCCGCATCCCCCCTACGGCTTTCCTTCAAGGATCGGTCACATGCCGGGAAATATTCCCGGACAGGGAGTGAGGATCCGCGCCAGACACGATGAAGGTCTTATCAGATGGCACAGAGGCTGCCAAAGACTCGAAGAAGCCGCATCGGAAGTCCAAACTCGGATGCCAGACTTGCAAGAGGCGCAAGATAAAGGTCAGTCTGATGAAGCACCGTCACACCGCTGCACGCCATCCCCGCCCATTGCCAACAGTTCGACGACGATGACTGCCTGCGGCCCCTTCACGCCTGGTGGCCGATCTGGTCCGCATGCCGTTGTATCTGCCACCGCGTTCCTCGCCGCATCAACTAACGTGCTGTTTTATAAAGTGTGATGAGCTGAGGCCAGCATGCCAAAACTGCGTCCGGCACTTGGTGTACTGCGACTTTCTGCAAAGCGGTCCATCACTGGCGGCGCACAGCACGCCAAACAGCACTTCCAACACCCCAGATGGGGCCACGCAGTCCGCGCGACCACCAATACCAGTTAACCACGACATCAACTTCACCGACCTGGAACTCATGCACAACTTCACTACTTCCGTCTATTCGACACTATCAACAGATGTCATAGTCCGCCAGATGTGGAAGGTCTCGGTCGTGCGCATGGCTCTGGAGTGCGAGTACGTGATGCGCACATTGTTGTCTATTTCGGCGCTACACCTTGCGCATCAGCAGCCCGAACGCAAAGAAGCCCTCGTGACCAAGGCTCTTCTATATCATCGTTCGGCCAGCAGGGAGGCGATGGGGCTGATGAGCGGCCTGGATGAGCGTAACGCAGAAAACCTGTTTCTGTTTTCGATTCTAACCATCTTCTTCGGTACGTCGTAACCCCCTTTTTCCATCGTTAGCACTGTAATGCTGCTCGTGTATAAAGCCCCGCGCGGGCTGCTTCATTGCATATAAGCAACTGACGGTCGACTAAACCCAGCCCTTGCATCCGGCCGCTATCTTAAAGAGTCGGTCGTCGTTTGGGAATCCGCTTTCCCGGATTGGACTTTCCTTCTTTCAGGAGCTGTTTCACTCCTCAAGCTTCTCGTCTCGAGGAACTACAAGGGACCACTCACTCCCCTTTTGACCTACGCGAAGGAGCGGTTCTTCACCGCCCGTGACGATTCACTTGCTCGGCCGGGAGCGTTGGAGTGTCTCCGACAGCGCGTGAATAACAGCGGCATCGACGCGGACTTGCTACGGGTCTACAACCTGGCGATCGACGAGCTGAGGCACACCATGTCTCTCGCCTTGCACGAAGGAGGCCGCAACATGGATATCATAGACATCTTCATCTGGAAGTACTTCGTTACCGACGAGTTCCTGCCGCTGCTCAAGACGCCGGACGCCAAACAAGAGGCCATTGCCATATACGCGCACTTTTGTATCGTTTTGAAGAGGCTCGAAAGCCAATGGTGGCTCCAGGGTTGGGCGATGCATCTGATCTCCCAGGCGTGGGAGTTGCTGGACGAGAGCCACAAGCCGTGGATACAGTGGCCGATGGACGAGCTGGGCTGGGCACCTCCGAAATGAAGCGTAAATACGCAAATGATTTCAAATCTTATATACCCTTTAATGCAATTGGTTGTCTTGCCATACGTACTTGCTTCACGCTAACAAAAACGAAGTCTGGAAGATGTGAAAGACTCCCGGCTGCTTTTCGCTCGCGAGCAGCGAAGGTACGTCCTGGTATTCCCACGAAGCCACATTGCGTCGGCGAGACGTTTTACATCGTTTTTTGATCCTTTTCAGTAGTGCGCAAAATCCAACAGTTGCCACTCTGATTATAGTGAAGCTCTACCAGGAAGTAGGAAGAATGAAGCAGGCACTAATTCATGAATGTCATCTTTGCAGGCAGATTTACACAGTTGCAGATGGTTGCAGCTTAAGTAGGCGCGTTCTCCATTCGCCAGGCTTTGGTCCAGAAACTCCTCTTCCATCTCGGCCGATGCCGTTTACTGAGGCAGGCATCGGTGCTAGGTTCGTTTATATGATGTACTAGAAGACTGTTAACCAATGTCTGAAAACCGTGTTCCTATTACAACTTACAGGAATAAAAAGGTATGGGACCTCTCTCTCGTACCGTTTCCAGGCTTCGCCGTACTTTCTTCGGCATCTGCTGATGTCTCTGTCGGTACGGTGAATGATCATCACCATGAAGAACACAAAGTAAAACCAGGGAAAGGGGCTCCTGTTGCACGTGTCTAGTCAGTAATCATGGAGAACAAAACATCAAGGATCAGGATCCTACTTGAAACCGGTGATCAAGCCCCACGAGAAGGAGAAGAACATGTCAGGAACATAGTTCGGTTTTCGGACGATTGCGAACCAACCATCCACCATGATGCGGTCTCCCGTGTCGGTTTCAATAACCTTTGGATCCTCAATCGCTTGCCAAGGTACTTGAGGAAACGTGTTGCGCTTGATCAGCTGGCCCCTTTCCTGGTGTCGGAACGCGTTCTTTTGGCCGTTGGCGCTGTCCCACATCCAGTAGAAGAAGAGGTACGCAGCGGTCAGTGCTGCCAGTGCATAGGGGCTCCGGTGGTACTCGGAGGGATCGTGGTTGGCGAGATACAAAGCGCAGTGGCAGTAGGTGAAGGGCACTCCGGCCATGTTCCAGAAGGTGAGAAGGAACCCGAGCTTCTCAAAGTACATGTCCCTAATTCATGATCGTTTAGCCAGCTCCGGAATAGATTTGTTTGATGCTCGGATCGATACTTACCAGCTCGTGATGATCATCTGCTCTGCTTTCGCGCAAGCGTTGGCGTAGAGAAAATGCGCGGCGGCCAAAAACATCACCTCGCCGGAGACGTACCCATACCTTTCGTACTGTCGGGCTGCGACCGAACATGTGATGAGAAAGAGTATAAACCACGGAATCCGCACCTCGTAAAACATCTTGAAGTCCAAGATGCCAACGCGCGGGTTGAGTTCGGCGCCCATGAAGAAGTCGTAGATCGGGAAACCGGTGAGCCTATGAGTGCGTCCACGGGCAAGGGCCTGGAAGTAGACGATGAAACTGTTGATAAAGCCGGACAGAATGGCCACCGTCATGAAAGACCCGAACTCGTCGATCAGAGTGTAGAGAGGGAACACCCGGGTGACGTGAAGAAGGGCGGCGATCGCGAGCGTGGCATAGAAACTGGCGTAGGCCGAACAATAGTAGGGCAGTCTCCTGCCGCCCTCGTGTCGAAGGGGGCGTCCGTAGCTGGATACACCAGGCATATAGCAGTACATGAGGGCCTCTCCGACGAAGAAAACCCAGTAGACACCCCAAGCCTTGGCTGTCGGGTAGGCGCCCTCGTAGACCAGCCGGGCAAGGTGATGGCCAAACTCGGGCCAGGACTGGTTGGGCTCTGGCAGAGGAATCTGGCCATCGTAGTACGTCGCACCAATCCACATATACCACATCACCAGAGGAAACCCGATCATGAGAGCCAGGGTTCCAAGCGAGCCACCAAATTCGAACTCGTCTGATGCGCCATCTTTGTACTTTGTCGAAAGGGATAAAGCTGGGGTGTCGATTACGTCCGTCTTGGATCGAACCGAAGTTGCAGAAACCACGGTATTTCCTCGCTTGGCGCTCATGGCTATCCACTGGAAGTCAGCTGATGAAGCTTAAAAGAGGTTGAGAATGCCGTTGAAGTTGTAGAGAGGGTGTCACAATGTCGGGTCTAGGCTGGAGGTTTTCTCATTATATGTAGGGCCACACAAGGCAAACTAACGAAACTGACGGCCAATTTGATGTTACTGTTCCTGGCACTAGAAATGAGTTCCTCGTTCATGCACGGCTCGTCTAGAATATTGGGGGTGGCTTTCATGCAGGCGTCGTGTAGCTATGCTTACATCCGCCTGGAGTGGGTCTCTAACTTGGCGTGGTTTTGCGAGACTAAAACATCTGCCCGGCTTACTTTCTATGGGTTGGTTTACCGCACCGGTGACTGAAGCGAGATGGTAGCGAGTGGTCCCAGTCATGCATGGGTTGGGGTTGTCGCTTTACCCGTTGCGGCGGTTGCGAAGCTGACATTCAGGGTTTCAGGTAAATAATCAAGGGAATATGCTCCGTTACCATCTTTTTGATGATCGTATGCAGGGCGCACATACTGTAGGATTGACCAATGATGGACTAGCAAACCAGCAGTAAGATTAGTCTTTGGGTTACATATCGTGTCGGAAGAAGTCGAACTCGGAATAAAAATGTTCTGAGTTGGTCACGAACGAGGCCCGATAACCGACCATACCACCTCCTACCAGTATACGCAATCAGATTGTATTTCTAAATACCCAGATGTTCCGCACGACAAAATGAAGGAAGTATTTCAGCGTACTGGTTGAAGTTGAGTCGCCAGCGGATCAGAAACCCAATAAGTCGGATATTGCGTGTATAATAGGGAATGGGTATCCGACAAGATGAGGATAAGAGATGTATCACGCGGGTATGGATATATGGGTCCTAGACGTACGGCTATATATTTTTTTCTACCTTACCCTATGTCTCTTTTGCATTGACGGACCGTTTGGACCGTATATACTTGGCCCCTATCGTGACAAGATGCGCTTCGTAGCATGTCATTAGCTTGGGAGAATGGGAGCTGTCGTTGCCGAATTGACTCAAAACACATGTCAGCTGCATTCATGAACGACGTCACACTGTTTGTCTTTATACAAGGGCTGCTAAGATGTTAGCTGAGCCACGTCTTCTTGGCTACTATTCCAGTATTTTATCTCGCATTTATGCCGGAATTTTCATGGTTGACCAGCCAATGAACATGGCTCCAAGTGTAGCCTCGAAGATCGAACTTCTGTGTTCGGCCAAACGTCAGAAACCCTCGGTAGCAAAAAGAAAGAATCCTCTTCTCGCTCAGCCACGGCAACAATGGCGTTCTCCATCAGGTGACATACAGCAAATCGTTGTTTGATTATCCTACAACTCGACAGGTTTGCATTAGATTGGCACTGATGCAGAGCCATACGACATATCCCTCCCCCGGGGTTGTTGTGATTGGCACACAGGATGCCCAGACCTGGAAACTTGTTTAGACCGAGACAATTCGAGGGCCCATCACCTCATGAGATGTCCTCTCGTCGACATGGCCCTTTCTGTATTGGAGCACACTCCTAATCAATAAAACTACACATCTATACCAAAGAGAGACAACCGTCTCGAAACAGCACGATGACGGCCAATGATGCCGCATTTCTGACATCGGGCCCGGATGCTCCCGGGACCATGAGCCGAAACGTATCCACATCCCGGTCCGCACAGATCCACTTTGAAGCGGGATGACGTCGTAACCGCAATCGAGATCTGGGCCGGTTTTCGTGCGTGTCATTCCCACCTCGTCTCCCTCACAGTAGGTACACTACCGTAGTGTACGGATACACACACAACCTCCCTCTCTTTCCCACGTGCCACATCACGAAACTCATAGGCTGTGTGGTGTGTCGAACCAATAAGACTGACTCTCTCCAACACTCCTCGGCCAACCAAGGCCGTAATCTGAAACCCCCCTAAATCCCTCAAAGGGCCGCTCGCTTACGCTCATCGTTTCTGCTGGGATTCCCGCGTGTGGCGTCCCGACGCTTCTCTGGTTGTGGCTGCCAACTTCCAGGATTTTTGTCATTGCGTCTGATGATGCCGCCCCCGCAGGGGTCCAGACGGGGGTCCAGCCCGGTGGCCTGGACCGGACGAGACAGCCTATAGCATCCCGTTTCGAAGCCTCCATCACAGACTGGTATGACGTATACATGAGCATCATCAGCCACACGTACGCAACATGCGCAGCTGAGAGGGATGCGTGAGTGACGAGTCTGACGGAAATGCAGTTGCCTATGTGTGGGTGCGTGTGTATGTGTGTGTGCTTGCTTGCTAGCATTCGGCCAAGTTTGGGCGGGTTTATATCAGGCTGGCGTTTTCCTCGTCGCTGGCGTCCATCGTCCGTTGTAGTGTTCATCCCGTTGATCTATTATTCCAGACCTCAGTTCAACTTTCGAGCATCAAGCATCCACCATTTCTATCCTCCACATCATCACCAACAAACAGTATTTCACCATGGCAGAGTGGGCAAAGCAAACCTACAACCAGCAGTACGAGAAATGGGTTCCGTGGCTCGAGGACCAGTACCTGAAGTGGTTCACCAAGGACAACAAGGCTAGCTACACCACCAAGGGTAAGATGCGCTGCGCTTCATCATATCGCGTTCCTCCCTGAGCTTTGCACTAGTACCTGTCTAGTTGAATAAGAGCCTCCGCTAACGCTCCTCGCTTCCAGACACGCTAGACAAGACCAAGGTCACCGGAGTCGAACAAGTCGACACCCTCCAAGATGGCGTCCACAACCTCGTCGGGGGCCAGGTAGGCAAAGGCGGCCTCCTCCAGCCCGTCGGCGACCTGGCCTCCAAGGAGGGCATCAACCGCGCCGAGCGCCAGGGCAAGGACGAGGAGGGTGGCTACGTCCCCACCGCCGTCCCGGGCTCCGGCGCCCTGAACCAGGCCGGCAGCGGCGTCGCCGACGGCGGCAAGGCCGTCGCTGGCAAGACCACCGAGGGCTTGAAGGGCGCCGGCGGCTACGTCGGCGGCCTCTTCGGCGCTGGCAAGAGCAAGGCCGAGCAGAAGTAAGGGCTTGGTCTCGGCGCCAACCCCTTTTCTGCTCGTATCATGCACCAATCTACTGGGGCCTGAAGCGAGATGCAAGCGTGTGTTTGTTGGATTATGATGATTCGCGGCGTTGGGGCATGATTTAGTTGGATTTTATGGTCGACGAGCACCGGACCCGATACCCATAAACAGACTTTAATCGATATTCTTCTCTCCTTACCTATGCATGATGGCTGATGAATCGTCATATCGAACAAACATGATGGCCCAAATTCGGACGTAGCCTCCCCCCACGGTCCAACTGCTTGTCGGTTAATTCTGTTTGTTTGTCTCCGTTTCTGGTTGGCGGGCTGTGCGATGCCTGATCCATGGCCGTTTGCTGAGGTTAGACGCCGATTCGACATGTCACCCCATGCTCATTTAAGGCCGAATCTCCCATCCTCACTCGCCGTGCTCGGTTTGGGTTTGTCCGCACCACCTGTGCTTTTTTTTTCCCTCGCGGGACGAGACTCTTTTACCAAACGATGAGCGTCACGAACCCCCGCCCGAGTCGTCTTGGCATCCGTTCGCTGGCAAAGAAGTCGTTCCGTTTGGTGAGCAAGCTCAGGAGCAGGACATGCCGAGCACGACCCGGCAGCGTCATGCCGAGCATCCACGCCATCACCACCGCCGAGATGCTCAGCAGCAGCGACTCGCTCGACGCCCTGCGGTTCTCGCCTCGGCCGGACCGCGAAAACTACAGCGCCTCCTTCGAGGACTTCTGGAGCGGCATCTCCCTCGACTGCGACAGCAGCACCCAGCCGAACCCCGCGATGGACGACCAGGTCGCGACGGGCTTCTTCGGGAAGCTGCCCAAGGAGGTCCGGGAGATGATATACCAGGAGCTCTGGCGCGCGGCCGGCCTGAGCCAGCATGTCATCCGCACGCAGGCCGGGTACGCCCACTCCCGGTGCTTGTTCGACCGACCCGGCGCCAGGGCCGCGGACGGCGAGGAGCCGTGGGAGTTCAACTGGATGGCGCCCGACGCGCACGGGCCGGGGCCGCTCTGGTACAAGCGGGAGATGTCGACCTGGTGCGACCACTGGAAGTGCGAGGAGTCGAGGGAGGAAATGGAGATATGGCGGGACATTGCGAGAGGCCGGACGGGCCACTCGGTCCATCTCGAAACGTGGACAGCATTCTTACCCATGATGCTGACCTGTAAACGAATGTAGGTCATGAAATTCCATTCACCGCCGAAGCAGATGGGCGCGGGGGGGGGGGGGGGGGCGGCACGTGAGGGGGGGAAGTCTGTCATGGCAAACATTTGCACTTACACATTGCGTCGCAACAACAAAAAAGGTACTCGGAATGCGCTTCTTCCATCTACGACTCGGTGGTCTTCGCCATCACCGACATCACCCTGGCACGGAACCTCTTCGGCGCGCGGCATCGGGGGCCCGCCGGCGGCCACCCGCTCCGGCGCGTCAACCTCTCGTTCCGGCGGCAGGCCGACGAGGGAAGCAGCTTCGAGCAGTGGGTCGACTCGTGGAGCGCCGTCCTCCGGCTCCTCGACACCCCGGGCCTGGCGACGGTGAACCTCTGGCTGGACAGCGACGTCTACTACGAGCGGCACTGGCTGTCGGTGACGGCCAACGTGTTCCGCCGGGTGCCGGAGGCGCTGGCCCACAAGGTCGCCGTCAGCCTGCCGCCGGACGGACACGGAGACAGGACGGCGGAGGCGGCGGGGCGGTGTGGCTGAGGAGCGTGGGGGGTGAGATGCCGTGGGCGGAGCAGGAGGCGGAGGAGGCGAGGTATTTCGGCGTGGGAAGGGTGCGAGATTTGAGTTTGCGGGATGGATGGGTGTAGAGCTCGAGGCTATCCTGAGGGAGCATGCGAGATTGGCCCGATGAGATGGAGAGTTTCAAAGCTGTGTAAGTGTGTATGTATAGATGAGACGACATAGGGCCTGAAGGGTAGGTCCAGCTACCAATGGAAACCATCACAAGCACCTCGCCCATCGGCTTTCACTGGCTGCAGGGGATTCCCATCAAAGAAAGGTCTGGAACACCTTCTCGACCGATGTAGACGGGCGCCCTTACGCACACACACACACACACACCCACGAGAAAGCTTCTTCGCGCAAGCGAGATCCCCGGCTGCATATAACAGCCCTTGCGGGGAGTCTCCGGTTTATTTTCGGACGAGCGAATGAGCAGGCGAAGGAAACTCCAAAGGTGATGTCCTCGTTGGAACTCGTCCGGTTCGACATCGTGTGCAGTGAATCATGAGAGTGGCACAGCAAGCAATGGCGATATACTCGGGCGAGATCCCCCACGCAGCACCAGCCCCTCCTTCTGTCGGCATTCTGCGGCACGGATCTTACTCATTGCCCTTCTCAGTGAATTGAAGCTTGACGATACGGTTGTAACGTTGCGGGGTAGCTCCCGGTCGTGGGGAGAAGAGGGGGGGGTGAGGCGCAGAGAGAGCTTCGCAGAGTGTCAAGCTATTGGTGGGACCTTTGGATCGCGATTTTCCCAGCTGCCGGATACCGTGGATAAAGATAGGTGTCTATCAGCATCTCCCGGAAACCCTATCAGACGTATCAGGTAAAGCAAATTAAGGGGGACAAGGGTGGAAGGAGGATCTTCTCCGGGTTGGAAAGGCTTAGAATATTGAAGCATCGTGAAGGTCCGAGTCCTTCTCTTGACCATGACCCCCGGGAGGAAGCCCCTGGCCAGCACATCTCAACCGGTTGGAAAGTCACCAGATCTGCCTGATCCCATTGGCGCTCCGCCGGGAGAATGGCTGCCCGTCCGGAGTGGGCGTTGTAGATGGCACCATAAGCCGTCCGAAGTTCCATAATCCCGATGACCCCCCACGACAGGATGCATGCATAGTGCCATTTCCATGTCCTCGGCCCCTCCCCACACCTGTTCCAAGACTTTCCATCACGACGGATCGGTGCTTCTTTGGAACACTCCGGGCTCAAGCAAACAAACCGAAAAAAACTGCCTACCTGACCGGGGGAGGCGTCGGTCCACGGCGGCGAATGACCAACGGGGCCACCATCTGTATGCGTGGCGGGACCCGGAGTGGATACGGTAGGCCTCGACGAGATCGGACTATAGATGGCTGATCGGCCTTCTGTGCGCGAGTTGTCTGCCGAACGGAACCGCTGCTAGCCCATATCGTACACCGCAGCAGCTCTCTCTCTCTCTCTCTCTCTCTCTCTCTCTCTCTCCCCGGCCGGCGGGGACGGTTTACTTTGACTGAGTCCGGAGCTAGAACCTCTTGGAAAGGGAGGGGGTGGCAGAGATGTGTTCTCTGGAAAGCAGGTTTTTTCAAAGCTCCGGACGAAGAGACAGGAACGGGTCTAGGTCGGGACACGGGTTGGTGATGTTTCGGGGGGGGGGGGGGGCGGCGCGATGGCAGGAATCGGGACTAGACATGCATGAAACCGTTTCCGTCCCAGTCGGGCGAAACGGCGAGAACCAAGATTTGGCGCATATACCTGTACATAGTACGGATACCTACAGGTGGACGTTCAAGCGCAATGGGACTGAGGGGTGCCAGACCGGCCCGTCCTAAACTATCTAGGGTTACAATGGGAAGCGAAGCTATTCGCATTTTTGGGGAGGTGGGGAGGTGGACCGGGGACGAAGATGCGCATGGCCACGCACGCCTCTGGGAAAGGATGTAACGCCCGCCAGCATACGCCGACCTCCTTCACCGAACCCATATCAGAAACGGTATAGAGGGGTGGCCTCGATGATACCTCGCCATGGAGGGCCTATCTACGGGGGGGGATAGAGCCGCCGAGGATCTAGGATAGTCGCGCGCGCTTGACTCAAAAGCAAGATTTCGCTGCGTGGCCATGGCTGCTGCTGCTGCTGCTGCGGCGCATTCCTGATCGTCTCTCTCCATCGTCACCTGAAGCTTCTTCGTCCTTGTCGCGACATGGAGCCATCCATCTGGTTCCCTGGTTCCTGATCCACGCCGGTTCTCTGCGCGTGAGAGCCCCCTCGTACCCCCCTTACCCCTGGAGAGCACTCGCTCACATGAGCCATGTGCATAGATTGTACCGTGCCCGCGGTATCGGCCGAGCAGTGTGGCTGGGTCACAGTAAGTAACGAAGCAGTTACCGCATCCGGGCGTGTGCGGGCGTGCCAGCAAGTCTCGGGGACCATGACGCTGGATATGGCACGGAGGGAGACCGGAGGTAGTGTGCGGCTACGTCCCATCGCCTGTTGCAGATGCCACGGAGGCGAGGTTTCTCGAGATGTGACCCCACGTTTGCCATGTACTCCGTACGCAGCAAGCGGTTGTTGCTCCGGAGAATAAAGACACACGATTCGGGGGGGGGGGAGGGCTTGGCTGGGCAGCAGGGCCTCTCTCAGATCATAGCAAACCCTGCAAAACGTCAGGAACAACACGCCATACAATCCATCCATCCAACCATGCATCCATCCATCTGCTTCTAAAGGTTCCTGACGCTTGTGCCGACACTGACACCGCACGGTCCAGCGATGTTTCGCAGGCGCCCCGGAAAGGTGCCAATCAGCAATGCAACCTGCACCGAGCTGTCTTCGTGTTCTGCTGCCGACTCTGTGTGTGTATGTGTGTGTGCGTGTGTGTGTGTGTGTGTGTGTCTGCGTCTGACGAAAGTCCCATACGCTCAGCCCCGTCTCGTGGTGAGGAACGCGGCCTTCTGAAGCAGGACATCACGCAAAGACGCAGAGGCAAAGGTCAAAGGGCTTCTTTTCTAAAACAGCGTACGCGGCGCCGGGTTGTTTGGGGAGAGGGGCTGCACCGACATGAATTGGCGGCCGGTCGTTCCCAACCAACCTCTCCCGTCCGTGGGAAAGGATCAGAGGGATTTGAGGAGGGGTGTTTAGAGTTGCTGTCACAGTCTTGCCGTCCTCGTCGCAGGCACGGAGGAGCCAGCCAGAACGTCTCCCACCGTGCGTGGTGATGGCCATGGCCGCTCGTTCCCTGGAGGCTGGCCAAGTTATCCGGGCTTTACTTGGGCCGTCACCCATACATCAGGTAGTCTATGCGGCGTTGGACCTTTGACCGCGAGGGGGGGGGGGGGGGGGGGGCCTTTATCTCTCACGATGGTTGCTGGCTGTAATTCGCGGCAAACCATCCTTGTGAACACCTAAATGACAAACAGAGATGCGACGGACACGGGTCTGGTCGGTTAGCTGGCGCCGAGGATCAGCTGGGCGTTTTGGGCTCGGCTGCCAAAGCTCTACCGCTATTCGCGCTGCTGCGAACACCTAGTCTGCTTGCCCTAATCCTATATCACGCATGATATAGGACCGGGGGGGGGGGGGGGGGGGTTGTTCTCGCCTAGGTCTTTAACACGCTCTGATATAGGTATCGTTAAGGTCTGGGTTGCGAATCTTGTTTAGAGGCCTCTCTGCCAGGGGCTTGAGGAAAGGATGGGCAAACAACCAGCGATAACGCGGTGCGGCTATAGCCCCTCGACACCACAATGACGTGTGCCGATTGCTATCTCGGACGTTTCTCTCATTGACTCTTGGCTAGAGAGAAGACGTGATGAGCCTGTCCTCTGACCGCCAATCCGCCAGAGATTCAACGTGCAGTGTGTAATGTGCGCGGTATCGTGGGACGTAAGCTGACCGGCCGTCGAGGTGGGCACCTCCCGGGGCTCCTGGAGACGATCTGACCCAATCTTGGTCGTCCGGCGCGGCATGCGGGCCTGAAGGCGGCCGTTCTCCAAAGGGGACCCGGTTCGGCAGAAAGACAAGCCAGGCCGGGGGCACGGAGGGGACTTGCATCCGTACGTGTAGTATTTAGCCGACTTCATCCAGCCGGGGACGCGAATTCGAGACTCCAGAAGCCGGCTGCGGTACATTGCCGCCGCTACGAACGGAGCTCAGAGCACATACTGATACCGAAGCACACGCTTCTTCCTGGTCGTTGCTCAGCTCGGCTGGGGATGGTTTGGCGTAGAGGTCACATTAGGGGGGCGCTTCTACCGGTCCGTGAACACCTTCTACGCAGAGAGATATCCCCCTTGACAAGGCCCAGCTGGGACTCGTGGACGGGAATGTCTGCCGATTTTTAAACTACACGACCGGGGGCCTGCAGTCCCGGTGGGATGGCGTGGCGTCCAGGAAGCAAAAATAGCACCTCACCGCAGCTCGAGTAAACCTTGGGTGTTCCCAATCCCGCGCCGAGATATGCAGGCAGCCTCTTCAGCCCGCGTGCCCCATCCCCCCTCGTGACAGCACCTCCTCCTGGGAAAGGAAGCCTCTTTTTCCCCAGGGAGTGACAAATGCAGCGTCGTGGAGACTATTGGATGGAGGCGCGCTTACACAGAGGCGGTGAAATGCAGAGACGGTGCGTGCATGGTGGCGGCGGCGTGGGACACGAAAAGCCTAATATGTGCGTTCTGCGACTCTTGGGAATCCCCAACCCGTCCTTCTCGGGTCTTCCCCCCGCCCGGGAGAGACGACGATGTCAGCCTCGTGGGGGGGGGGGGATCAATATTGTGACTCTGCAAGTGCTAGATCAGTTGCGTGCCGACGTGGCCGGCGAGATTATATACAAAAACGGCGTTTCCTCGCGAGCCAGCCTTGCATCTCACTAGACAAACCTGTGGCTTGTCTCACGTCGGCAGGGCCTAAGATGGCGATAGCGGCGGCCCAGGGGATGGATGGGTCCGTCTTGTTGGTATCCAGTAAGTGCTTCGCTCGGCTCGCCCAAGGGGAGCTTGGACGAGAGCAAGCC